TCATTGTGTCATACTTATTTTAAAAATATGACCCGTATATGTGCACAAATGTTTTTGACCCGTATATCTGCACAAATGTTTTTATTTTATTTTTATGGATCAAAATTTTATTATAATGTATAACTAAATTGTTTTATTTACTATTTAAAATATATGATCCTATATATTTCTACTTTTTAACTTTTATTATTCTGAATTTACCTTTAACTATTATTTATATAAAAATATACATAACATGATATGTTTATATTAATCTTTTATTATATATTATATAAATGTTTCTTTTTGTAACTTTTATTTTAGTTATTACTTATAAATAATAAAAATATAATTATATATCTTTGAAAAAATATTGTTCATTAACTATTTAAAGATATGTAGATAATTAATAAGAAAAAAATCCTAAAAGGTAGGTTAATTAATATTGGAATTAATTATTATGTATATGGAATTAGTAAAACAATTTCTATATAATTTATTTATTTAATTACAAAAGGTATATATGAAAATAATTATTTTCATTAATTATTGTTGCCATACTTTTCTAATTAAAATTTGATTTTGGAAATGTATTAATTAAAGTGAAAAGACAAAGAATCTTATAAGGTAGAGTAATTAATAAGTTCAGTGGCATAACATTGTAAATAATTAGAAAAACTCAGGGGTATTTTATATGAGTACTTCTCTTTTAATAATATAGATAGTACAAACCTAAATCCAGTTAATTAAAAGATTAAATCAGACCAATACTAATTAAATATACTTTACATGTCAGTATATATATATATATTTCTTGATAAATTAGTCCCGTATATGCCTCTTCTTTAGAAACAAATACTCCTATAAAAAAGGTTTAGTCAACTTCGATTTAATGTTTAAAAAAATAATTCTTTTTGTCAACCATTAAAAAAAAAATTTGTTTCATTTACGAAAAAAAACGAATATCATTGTACAAAATATTTACTTTTACTTCAGGTCTCCATCTTCATCGGATTTTAGTTGGGATGACAAAAGAAACCTAATCGAACTTGAAGTCGTGTTTTGAAAGCGTTAATCTTCACGTGTTAGATACTTAAAGCTCTTTTAACCGAGTTAACTAACAATAGATGTGTGCACATACTATATGATTCCGTTTGAATATGATAAATAATTATGTTGTAGGAGCACTGACTTCCACATGCCATGATTGTGGCTAGTGCTTAAGTCTCAGTCTCCTTTTCATGCGTCTGTCTCACTCAATTTAAATGTCCAGTAGCATTAAATGCATAATGATGCGTGCCTTTGCATAAAACCAGAGAGAGTGAGAGACCTTTGGGTTGAACGAAAAGCTCTTACGAAATTCCTTTTGTTTCAGGATATAGAGAGAGAAAGAGTGTCCTGAAACACATCAGTTGAAACATGGAAGTTGGAGTTGAGATACCTGAAACTTTTTGGTTATGTGGTGACTGTGAGTCTGTCACCATTGGGCTTTGTTGTTCTATATCATCTTTGTTTTATGGGGCTTTCTTGACTTTTCTTTTAATATAAAAGAAAATTTCATAAAAATACCTTTACTAAATTTTGTTAATTTTTGTAATACACAAATTTTTTTGCTACCCAGTTTAATATCCCAACTAATTATTTTCCAATTTTAGTACATAAACTTTTATAATTTTGCTCATTTTAATATTTTAATACCTAAAGTTTATTTATTTTAATAAATATATTAATAAGTTTAAATGAAATTTTAAAAATCTCTAAAGTTTACAGAAAAATCTAGTTTTATTTTTTGTGTGAGAAATAAACGTAAATAATTTTTTTTTTCAAATCTGAATTTTGTTATATATTTTTAAGTTTTAAATATGTTTGTTTTCTGAAAAAAAAAATCTTCAAAATTAATTTTAAAACTTTTGAATTTTCTCCAGATTTATATACCTTTTTTATTAAATCTTCAAGTAAAATTAGAAATTTTAAATATTTCTTATATTTTGAGATTTTTTTTTTAAACAAAAAATCGTTTGAAATTTATTAGTATTGTTAATTAAAAAATAAACTTTGGATATTAAAATGGACAAAATAATTAGTTAGGTATTAACTGGATAGGAAAAAGTTTTGGTATTAAAAATTTTAACGAAATTTAGTTATTTTATGCAATTTTCCCAAATATAACATATTATTCTTTCCGTTTCATTTTAAATGACGTTTTAGATTTGTACACAAAGATTATAAAACATTTAATTTTATATATAAAAATATCATTATCCATACATATAATCATATTTTAACTAAAAAAATGAACTGGAGAATAAAATTAATAAAATTTGTATTGAACGCTATAACGACATTCATTTTATAACGAAAAAATTTATTTAACTACACTTAATATGAAAAGAAAGTAGAATGTAACAGTTTATTTGTGTTTGTCATCATTTATGTGCATTGCGTAACACAAGATTTGAATTGACTAAAAATCTACAGTAAAACTAAGTGTGTAATGTAACATCCCAATATTTTCCACATATATATAGTCAACTTCTTTTCATTTTCTTATTGGGTTTCATTTTCGTATATTCAACTTCTTTGCTTGACAAGACGTATACTTGTCTGATTAGAAATCATAACAAGACGCATGTACTTGTTAATTGATATCTCCTTAACAGTTTTTCTGATCTTCGTATCAACTTATGCACAGACATTCTTCTAGCTCACTATGCATTTTAAAAATGAAACAAAGTAGCTAGACAAGTGACATACGATATCCTAAAGCGAGTTCGAATTGTTAGATATCAAAAAGAAGACAGTTAAGTATTTGAATTTCAAAACATATTGTCAGCAAATATTTGATAGACATAACAAACTGAAATAAGTCAGTTAACTCAAATTTTTCTTGAAACGTTTAGAGAGAAAAGCCCTTTCTCAGAAAAAAAAAACTTATAGAGAGAAACCATGTTTCCATTGGCTTAAAAATAGTTACTGTTAAATGGTATAATTTGCTAAATATTTTAGAGGCATCAAAACATTGTTTTGTTGTGTCCCAGCATGGAGATAAATGAATAATGTTCGTCTGTGACAGCAGAATAGTTAAATAAATGCCTACTATTTTGATTGAATTGTAGTACCCACAAAATAATATACTACTCGATATACCTATAACCACTTCATGACTTCACCCTTTTTAGTGTTTTGAGTGGTGTACAACAATTATTTGCTTTTTAATGTATTCGCACCTTATGGCTCACGTGTTATACAGATGTTTTCCTCCAGATATGCTGTCGATCAATTTAGAATCTAATGTAAAAGAAAAAAAACTCAATAACTTATATAGTTATAGTACATATTTTATCAATCATAGCTCATAATCATTCAGGTTAATATAGGCTAAATGTGGTAATGTTGAATTCGTCGACACATCTCCAAAATAATTGTTCATAAGTGAAAGAAACAAATAAATGAGTCAATGGTGAACAAGTTGGCGTAGCTAAATTATATTTTAAATCGAGGGGCCAAAAAAAGTTGAAAGTAATAATGGCCCGACAAATGAAATTCGACTTGATTTAGTGAGGATTTACCATTAAATTTGGTTGTCACTTTCATAGACTTTTTCACATATCTCTCACTTTACCATACCATTTCAGGGAAAATAATTATTCTTAAGTTTTATCAATTGAATTATTTACTACTGCCTTTTTAACTATTTACCATCTACCTACAAAAAAAAATTCATAACTATGACCGACAAAATAGATGGATCTAATAACCGAACCAAACCTCATCCAAGAATAGAATTTAATTTGAATTGAAATAATTTAAATATTTAGATGGATCCAAAATTTAGTAGCTAAAAAAAAACTAAAACCAAACCTGATTTTAACTAAAAAGAATTTGGTATCCAAAAAGAATCACAATAATATTAAATATATTAATTGTTAGATTTAATTTATATAAAATATCCATACATGTTCAAAACACCATAAATATTTAAAATACATTTTGTTTTCCATTCATATATCCAAATCTAACTAATTTTCATGTTAATTTTAAATATTTAGTTTTATATTATTCAAATTGACTTTTTATATATTATTTTTAGTTTTGGAACTTTGATGTTTTTAAAATTTAGATTTTAAATTTTTAACATATTTTAACTAGATATTTAAACCCAAAGCGAATCTGCAATTATCTAAATTAAATCCAAATCAAATTTTATAAATAGTCGAATGAAATAAATTTCTCGACCTAGAAATCCAGAATCCAAATGTAGAACCAAACTCCGAGCGCCCACGCCTATTAAATCATAACAGTTAAAAAATGGAATGATATAATCGTGGAAATACAAAAAAAAAGTAGAGTATTCTCCAAAAAAGCTCATGGTCTGAAGTATGGGCCGATTGAATTTATTATATTGGGTCAATCAGAGTCCATGAAATCCCTTTTCAACTATTGTATATCCACCCTTATCGATGTTGAGCAGAATGAAAAAGGTGAAAAAGAATCGGTTCTCCTATACTCTTAATCTTAACCTCAGCTATCCTCAGTTTTAAATACAAAAGAAGTTTCGGTTTATGTATACTATTGACGAACCTATCAAAATTGGAAATGTCATCTCTTAACAAATTTTCTCATTTTAGTTTTATAAGCTCAGTATTCAGTAACCAAAACAAAATCATTAGATTCTCAAAAAGATAATGAAAGTGTTAGTAGAGTAAGAACCGAATAACAATTAACAATTAGAAAAATGATTCTCAGATTTACAAACTATACAAACGAAAGTAATGTTATTCTTATGAGCTCATTCTACTTTGCTAAGGATTCCCTCACAAAACATGGTAAATCTATAATACACATGGGCTTATTTTGAAGGAAATAAAAATAAAAAGATAACTGTATTTTCTAAACTATAGCCAGCCATATGGGCTACTTGAAAGAGCCTCCAATGACTTTGTTAGCTCTATATAATATGGGCTAATCTCATAGTGAACGGATCCAATACATAACAATGATAACATTAACAAATGATAACAATGGGGTCCCTCCATCAAAGTAGGGGATCTTTTCACTATTTTGGATTCCTTCACCACTCACAAGTTTGACCCGTTTCTCTCGAATGCGGTAATACAAATTTGAACGGCTCCTCTCTCGAATAATTCTAATACATCGGATTCTTTAAAACCCTACAGCAGAGATCTAAACTTCTTGAATGTTGTAGACTTATAGAAACAAGGAAGACGCTTAGAAAAGAGAGAGTTATAAGAAATGGCTAAGTTCTTCATAAACCAAGCCAAGCAATACGCTGCAGCTCGACCGAATTACCCGATCCAACTCTTCGAGTTCATCTCATCGAAAACACCGTGCCACGACCTTGCATGGGACGTTGGTGCAGGAAGTGGCCAGGCCTCACGATCGGTAACAATGTTTACTAATTTATCTAGGCAATTTCCAGTTTTTTTTTTGTTATTATTAAATCTTGATTAATACCAATAGTATGGATATATCTAATCTTTTTATTTCACTTTTTTTTTTGTTGAAAACGTTACATCTTTAGTTTTGATAATCTTTTTAGCTAGCCGGAATCTACAAGAACGTGATTGCTACCGACACAAGCTCCAAGCAACTTGAGTTTGCTGCAAAGCTTCCCAACGTACGTTACGAGCTCACACCACCAGTGATGTCTTTGTCAGAGATCGAACAGCTAGTTGCGCCTAAATCATCTGTAGACTTAGTCACCATCGCTCAAGCCCTTCACTGGTTCGACCTACCAACTTTTTACAACAACGTGAAACACGTGCTCAAGAAACCAAACGGTGTAATCGCCGCCTGGTGCTACACCAACCCGGAGGTCAACGCCGCCGTGGACAATGTTTTCCGGCGGTTTTACGAGGAGAGACTTGGTCCATATTGGGACAAAGCTAGGCGGCTTGTGGAGGATGGGTACAAGGGAATAGAGTTTCCGTTTGAGAAGATTATGGATGAGTCAACGGAAAGTCAAACTTTTCCTGTTAGGTTTGTGACGGAGAGAGAGATGGGGATTGAAGAGTTTTTTACGTATTTGAGGTCATCTTCGGCGTATCAGACGGCTAAGGATAAAGGGGTTGAGCTTTTGACGGTGGAGATGGAAAGAGAGTTTGTTGGTTCGTGGAAAGAAGATGGTGAAGATAAGAAAGTTGTTAGGTTTCCTATCTATTTGTTGATTGGTAGAGTTGGAGGAGATAGTGACTGAATATTTTGTTTTCTTGATTTGAATTTTCAAAAATAGTTTTTGAATAATTGAAACACTTTAATAAATGTCTCAGTAGTTTAGTAGCCAAAACACATTTATTATGAAAAACAAAGGACTTGGGGTCTTAGACAAACAAGAGTAAACAGAAGTCGCGACCATGTTGTGTAGTTCCAGCTTCCTCGGGGATCGAATCTTTCGCTAAGCTACAAGTTATGCTTGTCCTCTTTCTCCCATACCACATGCGCATGCGCGACTACACGACACTATGTTATTACTAGTAGTATCTACACTTGCTGGTTCAAACTCTTTGGATTAATCTAACTTACTAATTTATAGAAACTATCAATAAATCATTTATAGAAAAGTGGTCTAAGGTTTTTGGGCTCATCAACTTCGTTTTTGGTTGAAACATGATACCTCAACATTTATAGACACTTGCATTACCATAACATCGTTTTGAACCCTAGTTTTGACTAACAAACCATTACTTATAACCAGGACAAATCACGCTAAACTACATGCATCTTAATGTGACTAAAAAATGACACGATGATTGTGTATGAGCTAGCTTCGGTCTCATGTAGCTTACTTCAGAAATGACGGAGTTGTTGAGTGAAGATTGGCCTGAGAGCAGTTCGAGATATACATGGGTACAAGTCAACCAATAAGAAAAGACAAGTAAAAAGAGTTCAATTGGAGTAGACATAGCTCAATAGTGCAAGTAGGGTATGAGTTTGGTGTTTTAGTAAGGATTTTCATATAAGGAAGGATAGAGTTGTCGAGTGAGGATTGGCTGAGGGCAATTCGAGATATACATGGGTACAAAACAACCAATAAAAAGACAAATAGAAGCGAGTTTAATTGGAGTAGAAGGGGGAAAATAATGCAAGTAGGGTATGTGTGAGTTTGGCGTTTTATTAAGGATTTCCAAATATGCCTGCCTATGTGTATTTTTAATGTCCGTGATGGAGAACACAATGATGATTTTGAGTTTAATTCATCGATGTTAGCTCAATATTTAAATTCTAGCGACCGATATGACTTTAGATGATTGTGTGTTAGAATTTTGTTTACTCTAATTTTTATCACTATAATTTTTTACCGCTTTTTCTTTGATACCAATAACAAAGTATCAATCAGTATCTTCATGGTGATTGGATGGATGTCTTTTCTATCCAACTAAATGCTAAAAACATTTACAATTTGCAGAATTTTGGAGGATATTGCAAGCGGCCAGATATACTAAGAACTTTCAAACTTGCAGCCATATGAAAAGTCATACCCAATGTCGACATATTGATATGTCCAAAAAACATCATTGTGATTGAGTCATTGCGAGGTGCAAAATTTTAACTAGAACACGATCTCATCTTGTTTGACTTTTACAAAATCAGGTATTGTAGTTTATATAGGACTCGACTCGAGTCCATATCAAACTTCAAAATTATTACCAAATTATTAGCATTTTAATATGTTTATGCATTCTCTATAGTTCACTTCCCTCCATTTTCTTAACAACGAATGTTTGTGTCCTAAAGAGACATTAAAATAACCTTAGCAAGCATTTATTCTTCCGGCAGGGTTTTTTATTCTTCAGGAGTAACACACAATCATTCATCTACGCGTTTAATAAGTTTATTTGCTAACCACCTAATAAACAAAAATCTTGTGCTGGTACGAATATTCCACGCCTCACAATGTGTGGTTAGGACTAAGACAAACGGCGCAAATGCCTTTATTTATCTCACGTAATTTCAACTGAGACTTAGCTTTTGTTGTGGACCTAATGGTGCATGCGCATGTATCTTTCGTTTACTTCCAACTTAGAGTTCGGCGGTATCTATTACAAATTAAAAGTTTAGAGTAAAACTCGTAAAGAGTAAGTAGATTCACATTATGTAGAAAAGGAAAAGAAGAAGAAACATTAGAGATTGGGAGGGTCCATGATCCATATTCATAGGCCACGAGACGAGTGGAAGACAGTTGGTCTGCACTCTTGCTTGGACAATGCTTGTGGTTGTGGACATAGTCCCTCCAATTTGATTCTTCTAAATCTGAACTTTGTACCAAAATATTATTGGGTGTGACTGAAAGTGTTGAAGAGTCTTTTACAACCACAATTTTTTTACAATATTAAATATTTTCCAATCATATTTACACATTTTAAAAAAAAATTATAACTTGTATATCCTTTTTGATCATGAAAACAGATACCTAGAGTAATATTTTTGTTAGTTTAAGAAGATTTATAAAGTAGTTGTTAATAAAATCAAACTTATAGGCCAAAATTTGCAGTATTAAAATTTATAACTTCAATAATTGTAATCTGAATTCTTCAATCAACATATACAATTACCATTGTAACATTGAGACCCAGGTTGATACAAAGATCGCTAGCACATGTATAAGTTTTGGATGGTTAAATATATGTAGTAGATTAGTTGACAAAGGAGAAAAAATTATGTAACTTGAACATTGACCAACATGTACAACGCATGTATACTAGTTTAACTAACACATCTCATGGCATAATAAGACTCCTTTCAGATTAAAACTCTTTATTCCTTACACGACTTATAATTTGGCAAAAAGCAAGAAAAGATAATGCATGCTTAATACATGGAGATAAAAAAGGTAGTCGGCAGACTTTGAGTGGTAAGGAACTTTTCATGTGGGTTGCATCAACGAGTCTTCAGCGCTTTTTTAACCACCGTAAATGCTTTAAAACGTTAATACAAGTTTTGACTAGATGTATATATAAGATAACCAGTGTTTTAGAAAGTGGTAGGGATGCGCCTATACCCTCGCTTATTCAGTAATCGATCAAAAATAAAATAATTTTTTAAAACATTTTTTTAAGAATTAGATTAGGCAGCGTTTAGACATCTAAACATTAATTATTTAGAAAAATATTTGATTACTGTGAAACTTTTTTTGAACATTAAGATAAACACAAGTTAACATCAGGATAATAAAATAGCATATCGTCCGATTATTTTAACAATTTTAATTCAATACTATCTGAGGGGAAAATGGATACTGATTAATTCCAACAAGAAAGTGAAACTAGAACATGTGAACACACTAGTTTAGTAATGTATATTTAAAATTTTAAGAACCGACGGTGAAAATTTGAAGTGCTTTAATTTGCCGTGACAAAAATATACCCACCGCAAAACAGAAATTACAGTAATTATATAAAATAATGTGTAACAGAGTAGAGCATAACGATGTCATTATCATCAATCACACAAACATGACTCAATGATGATCATTCATGGCCATCATGCGGCAAAAGTCATCAAAACAAACAAAACCGTCACCGTTCCCATCAACAGTCGCTATCATACGCACACACTCTTCTAACGTGCACCGTTCATCTCCAATAACACCAAAAACCCTATGCAACTCCTCCGCAGATATCTTCCCGTCGTGATCCACGTCAAAAAACTCAAACACCTCTCTCATCTCAACAACAGAGCCTTCATCATAGGAGGAGGTTCCTGCCACGCGGCTAGCAAGCTCCTCGAGGCTGATACAACCATTGTCTCCTCCATCAACAACAACTTCTTGAAGCATCAGAGTAACCTCTTCTTGACTTGGAGGCTCAGGGCTGAGCCTGCTAAGCAACGCAGCTAGGTCTCTTCTTGAAACCACACCGTCGTCGTCACGGTCTATGAGTTTAAAGGCTTGGATCAGCTCGGAGTAAAAATCTTGATGATCTACGGGGAGGACACTGATGGGAGTGGAGGCGGGACCTGGCTTGAGGTTGTTGTTGTAGGAGCCTTCGGAGGAGGAGGAGGAGGAAGCACCGGAGCTGAAGGAAGAAGGCTCGGATCTTGAGACGGAGGACTTGGTGGACTTGGAGCGGCGGAAGAGATGTTTGGGGCTGAGGCGGAGGAACTTGGAGCTGAGGCTAGTGGCGAGCTTCATGGTGGAGAAGATGAAAGAGAGAGGAGATGATATGTTGTTGGTGTGAGGAGGAAAGAGCGAGGAAGGATGGTATTAAATGGGGAGAGGAGATGGGAAGCCATGGCAGCTTCCGCGAAGCTTCGTGGAGAGAGTGGTGTTTTGATACTTGCTTATATACTTATCATATTCATTGATTCCTCATTTTTCTATCCTTTTTATTTTTTTATTTTTTTCTATGATTAGTTTTTTTTTTTGTCAACTATGATTATGATTAGTTAGTTTTACATGTATTACTATGACCATCCAATTTTTTTTTCTATTTCCTCTTGTATATTTTCATTTTTCTTAAACATAAATACTATTATTAATTGCAAAGCATGATTGAGTAACATGATAAGGGTAGAAAGATGTTAACTTCTCAAAATTTTAAATCTACCTAACTTAAATTTATCCACCTGTTTGGCCAATCAAAATAGGTATATAATTTTGTTATGAAAATCGGATCTATCTGATACCAATTGATATATTTTCAGGGATTAATCGGTTGAGTTTCAGTATAGTGTAGTAAATTATCAAAAATAAAAGAAGATATTGATTTATAACCTTTAAATTTTGTGAAGTAATTATATAAAATTTAGTTATTAAATTATTTATAACTCTTAAAATCTTAATAGACCATCTCCAATGGTACACTATTTTTTCCTCTATAATTTACTCTAAAATAGAATAATTTAATAGTGTAAATTTTGCTCCAATGGTTTACTCTATAATAGAGTTACTCTATAATAGAGTTACTCTATTATAGAGTGAAATATAGAAGGATATCACTTTTTCACTCTATATTTGGAGTGAAATAATGGGATTACTCTATATTTCATTCTATAAAAGAGTAACTCTATTATATAGTAAACTATTGGAACAAAATTTACACATCTATTTTAGTGTAAATTATAGAGAAAAAAATAGTGTACCATTGGAGAAGCCCAAAGTGTTATCACCTCTTTTAGTGAATAATATTCAGATGGCAAAAAAAAGACCATACCGAGTAAAGAATCTTAAATTGCGTATCTACAGGCACTAATTACTAGGAGCTAAAAGAGTTCGAGTAAAAAACAAAAATGTACTTGTCGAGTTATGTTTGTATTTTGGATTATGGTCTGACTTCGTCACAGACACATGCAGATGCAGAGTGCTTGTCGTTCCCTAGTCATGATTCATCTTACCTAATTTTCTTTTTAACTATTTAGTGATTGGTTGGAAACTACGGAATGTTTTTCAGAGATCTAGTATTTTTTTTTCTTATTATTATGAGTTGATTTAATTAGCGAGTTAATAACGTAAAAGTTGGTTCAGACTCTTTCTGGGTGTGTTTTCCACGAAGAAAGAAGATCAGTAAGAAACTTAAAGGTTTTCTGAATTTTCTCTGTCAATCCTTTTCACTTTAATAGTGTTTCTGAAAAGCCTATGCTAAGAAATTTCTCAACATTTACACGAGAGAGAGAGTTCAAAACCGCAACAATCACATTAGTTTGACTTATTTAGTGCTAAAGTTAACACTGGCGTGGCCAACCACGTTGTACGTTTTATATTTGTTTTTCAACATTATCAAGATATATTGAGTAGTTTCGGCTACATAAAAAACAATTGAAAATATCTACAGAACGTAAGACGCACTACTTGTTACGGCCGCCTTCGGTTATAAAAAAAATCATTTGCTGTAGAACAGATAACAAAGTTGATATAATCGAATAGTTTACCTTTATCTTTTGACATTGGAAGATATTATACATTTTTGGTGATCGTTCTAGAATGATCAAAGCAATATATAGTGTTTCTGTCTCTTGTTTTTGGTAAAAATATAGTGTTCATGTTGATTCTCAGTACATGAAGAAGCTTTCACAAGATATATGTAATTACATGGAATTGAAGCTGATTTGATAACTTATGAACCTACCTTCATCTGATATCTATTTTGCAAGGTAGTGTTTTTGTTCAGAAGATGATTTTTTTCTAAACAAACTTGGAAAATGTAACTGTTTCATTCAATGGATGTTGCACTTTTGGATTCATCTCCATCTCCATCTCTTTGAATTTTCTCCAGAGTGTGGGCTTTAAAGGGGCTGGGCTTCCTGATCCATGATCCGAAGCTAAGTCTAGTAGAGATCATCGACAAGGCGGCCCAACCTTGTGTTCAATCAGTGTCGACATATGGATTTAAGGAAGATATAGCGATTGCTGTCTGAAAAAACAAAACAGCGTGGGTCGTCTTCTAATAGTTGTGACTCCACCAGTCAAGCCTTTTCTTTTCTTGTTTGGGATGTTATGTTTCTTGGATTTTATCACAATAAATTTAATACTTGCGATGTAATGAACAACTGCGTAATAATCACCTTAATAAATCACAATACCTTTTCTGTTCAAACGTTATTTTCATAAGTTTATTACGTGATGTTTCACGCCTTGGCGAATTGCTACAATATACCCTCGACAGAGTAATAACTACGATTATACTAAACAAAAATTTAAAATGCGTTCACTTCCAATCTGCCAAATTACAAACATTACCTAACAACTTTAATGGAAAAACCAACACATGGCCACATGTATTGGTTTGCAACTTTGGAAAACCTACTTTCCAATTAAACTAATATCAAAATCTATAAACAAAGCAATATATGGAAGTAATCATTGAGATATGAATTATGAAAAATAGAGAGAAAGCAATAGAATTAGGCAAAAGGACTAGCAATCTCCACATAAATTTACATTCCCATTTAAGTCTCTCAAATCCAAACCAAGCCAGAGAAAGTCGATAGACAAATAAGTTGTTTATGAACCTAACATAAAAACATAAATGTAAAGATAATAGGCAAGAGACTGTATCCAGCAGCAATTCATCTCAATACCCATCACTCAAATCAAGTTGCCAAACACTCTCTTGCAAAATAAATCAGCATCCCTGAGAGAAGAAGTTACTCCAATCAGAAGCAAGCATCCAAGAGACAACAACAGCATAGAGCAGCAAGACTGCACCAAAAAATCAAAAACATTAGTATATAACTGCATTACATGTAACAAAAATAGTAACCAGCAGCTCAATCTCAAAAAATGCAAGCATGCAATCTAATCATAAAACAAAGTTAAGAACAAAGTAGCTGGAGCACAAGACTTCTTCTTAGAATCTGTAGTTGAATATTCAACCACTTGAAAAAGAGTCAAACAGTTAAGTCTACATAGATCCATACAAAACTCACACCACAACAAAGCATGCTCATATGGATGCATATATTCACAAGACCATCACAATCAATCACATAAATCAACAAAGTCAAACTCTATAGAAGACTTCTTCTAAGAATTTTGAATATTCAAAGACTGAAAATAGTCAAAACAGTCAAGTCTAACAATAGATCCATACAAATAAATAAATAATAATAAATGTTTTTAGAGAGTTTACTTACCATCCTTCTAGAACACCAGGGCTACCGCTCTGTTGCTGCTGATGCTGCGGTGGCGGAGGATACTGCGGGGCGTAAGGAGGAGGATAGCCTTGCTGAGGATACCCCTGCTGAGGGTACCCCTGCGGCGGGTATCCCTGAGGAGGATAGCCTTGCGGTGGATACGCATCCTTCGGATATCCCTCCGGTGGATAACCTATTAACATGCCAAAAAAAGATTAAGATCCATCGCACATAACACAAAACAGATCTGAGAAATTGAGAAGAAGAGAGATGATACCTTGAGGAGGAGGAACACCGACGGGAGGTTGATTGTACTGACTCATTGTTAGGTTTGGGATGACGAGTGCAAACCCTAGATCGAGAGAAGTTATAGGGGAAAGCGATAGAGATGGATTGAGAAATATAAGGAAAAGAGAGGAGAGTGTTTTTAAGTAAAAACGCGTCTTGCAGTTATTTTTCCTTTTCGTTTTGTGTGTTTAATGTTTATCTCATTGTTAAATACGATGCAACGGCCTAATTAAAAAGTTAAAGCTTTATATTAAAAACAAGATTTACGCGGTTTCTGCACTTTACAGATACGTATACTTTCTGTTTTTAATTATTTTAAACTGAAAATAATAATATGGTTGTGCAGGTGCATTATTCAGTTTTGTTCCCTTTACAGACATATTTCTGTTTTGAACTATTTTAACTGACAATTATAATATGGTTATTTAGGTGCATTATTCAGTGAAATAATCTATGTTTCTTAAAAAATGTTACCAAAATATATTTTTCATATTTCTATTAGGTGATAACTAAAAATTGTAAAATTATTAAAATGAAATGTATTTATTAGATTTTATCGGTTAAGAATTATAAACTAATCATACAAATAATATATTTGAAATTAAAATTTAATAATTTTTATAATATATGTAAAATTTTCAAATATACATTCTTGATATAGAGGAAGTAATTGAACTATAAAGAACTGAAGTTTCTATTATAGTTTCCTATTATACAATGAATCATTAATTCATTCTCTCTTTGTTTGTTTTCTTTTTGGTAAAAACTCTCTTTATTTGTTTTTTTGGGTAAAAACTCTCTTTGTTTGTTGTTGAAATTTTAGTGTTATTTAGTTTACTGGTTTCTAAGTTCTATTATTTCTTTTATTCAATGCTATGTGGTATTTCATTTTAAAAGAATTTAAATTGAAAGTGTAAGGAAAAATATGAAAAAAACAATATACTATAAGGTGTCTTTTGAATAGAGTTCACTTAACTCTTTTAAATTTATCCTCATTTTCTAGTGTTCCAGGTGGTATTTGGTACACCTTATTAACGTGTTGACATTCAAGAAAAATATTTGGCGTGAAATTTAATTAAATGTACATAACAAATAGATTTAATTGTCTGATTCACAATGTCGATAGTTGAAATTAAATGATATATTATTATTCCCAAGTTAACATCACATCGAAGTAGGAAAACAAAAGAGATAGGAGAACTGAATATACATTCTTGATATTCACATTTTAACACACAAAGTGTTTATGGTATGTACCAAACTATTTAGCAAAGCCAAAAAAGCACCAAATCTTAAGAAAGAGCTCTCATGTTTGTTCAGATCCAGCTAAAAGAAAATTCTGACCAAAAACAAATTATCATTGTCTTGGAGTTCAGTATAACGCATTCTTTCTCGTCGACTACCTGTTCTTATCCTTGAGCTGCTGCATGCATATACTAGCTTGCGGGTAAAGCTGACCAACCACTTCAATTCATTTCTACAATACCAACAAAGACCAATAATCATGGTTGTTCTAGCCTACTAGCAAACTGCGAAATGGGATGTTAATGGGAACTAAGATGTGTTTAGTAAGAAGATGGAACCATTGACAAGCAAACTGAATCCACTATAATACTACACGGAGTAAAATTTGAAATGTCTATGATTCTATATGTAAACTCCTCCAATATAAGCTCATTATTGAAAACAATGATTAAAAAGGATTGAATATTCTCCAACTCATATCAGAAAAATAAGCTCCCATAAAATAATATACAAGTTGGGAGATTTAAAATATGTGTGAAACACATTTCCACTCACTCACATACACATACAAAACATGGGAGTCCCCCACTCGTCAAATAAAACTACAGCAGAATAATTATTGAATGTTACTAGTGATCGTAAGACCCCACTTACACATCAACTGTTCTCATATCCAATCTCCTCTTTTAGATATTTTCTTTTGGGATATAAATTCACAGCATATCCATTAGTAGGAACCGCATCTCCTCTCTCACACACATACACTTACAAAACATTGGAGTTCTCCACTAATCAGATCAAACTACAGCCCAAATATACCATAATTAATGTTACTAGTGAACTAGTGATCCTAAGACCTCAGTTACACATCTGCAATTCTTATTTCCTATATCCTCTTGTATATTTTCTTTTTGTATCTGTCATCTATCACAAGACTGACTAGTAAATTTAATATTTGATTGTACTAAGCAGAGAGATTCACAGTGGATGGACTGAAACTAAGATGAAATACTGTGTGAACAGAAACTATAACCAGCAAAAACCATGGGTGGGGGTGACGCCCATTAGATCGTTAATGGGCCTATATTTGATTAGGTTCCTACCTTATCCTCTCCGACCGAATTTCAAGATATTTTGTATTTTTTTAAAAAGAAGAATAATAATTTAAACTTTGTACGAGTCGCCAACGGATTGGACACGAAAAAGAAAGTCAAATAAAGCCAACAGTAACGCGTCAACACGTGGACGGCGGATTACTCAAAACCACGTCAGGTACGGCTCCAAACCTACCCACTTGTCTCTCACAAATAATTCCGCCTCGGAGCTAACGAACCTGAGACTCGTCACCGAACCTCGCTTTATATAATTAAAACTCTCTTCCCCTCATCTCTCGTCACATCGTATTTGATCCTTATCAACTTCAACAAGTTGCAGATATTTTTCTACGCCCAAAGGTAATCGTCCTCTTGTAACTCTAACCGTTTCTCGAAACGATGATCTCATCTTCGTAGTTAATTGGATATTGATGAATTTTGTGTTGTTTCCGGGAAACTTTTTAAAATAATTTCGAAGAAATGAAATGATCGATCGATCTTCTAGCTTGCGATCGGTGTTGTGATCGTGGATCTAGCTAAATAGTTTCCGTACAGTTTCTGGAAAGTATTTTTGAAAAATTCGAAGAGATGAAGCGATCGAATCATCTTCTAGTTTGCGATCTGTGTGGTGATCGTCGATCTAGCTAAAAATCTTCCGATCTCCGTATTTTAAGATCGATAGATCTTCACGATTAACTCTTTTGACATTCGATTAGTTAATTGAATAGCTATGATCTGTTTGAATCATTGATTCGTTTACAGATCTAATCATTCATAGATCTATTCGTTTTACTGTGTAATCTGAGCTTATTGTGAATCAATCAAGCTTATTGTGAATCAATCAAATCATTGATATGATCTTTGGTTGTAATCTGTGTGTACAGATCTAAAAGATCAGATTTAAAAAGCAAATGGCGATGGTATCAGGAAGACGTTCAACTCTAAACCCCAACGCACCACTCTTCGTCCCAGCAGCCGTTAGACAAGTGGAAGATTTCTCCCCCGAATGGTGGCAGTTGGTGACAACCTCCACTTGGTACCATGACTACTGGATCAGCCAGCACCAAGGAGCTGACGGATTCTACGACAACGGAGAGAATCATGAAGTCGACGTAGCTGATCTCCTCCCAGAATCTTTTGATTTCGATGACATGGAAGATGTCTTCGAAACCGAGTTTGATCATCAAGGATACGGTGGACAACTAATGTATCAACCACCTTCTGACTTTGGTAAGCTAACAGTTCTCTCTCACAGCAAACAACAGATTCGGAGATGGATTGTTCTGAGTTTTTTTTTGTTGTGTGATTATTAGGTTTTGGGAAGAATGGTGAGATGGTGAGGAAGTCGAGTGGGAACAGGAGTCCTAAGTCGATTGTTGAACCGGCTAAGTATGCTGAGAAGCCAGCGAAATGGGGAAACCAGAAGGTTGCTCCACGAAACATTCACCAGCCTCGTTGAAGTGGAGTTGTGTTGACTAGTCTCAGAGTATGTTGTATCTTTTAGCCCCCCACTGTACCTTTGTAATTTTTAGTATTTGCTGCTTTCCACAAGAGAGAGAACCTGTAACTTCTCTGTACCTTTATGATGTTCAGTCTCAAAACTTGTTATTACTAAAAAAAAGTGTAAAAACATAAAAATTGTAAACTTGGAAGAGTAATGAGAAGTAAAAGTATTTCACACATAAACTCTGTAAATTTATTTGACCAAAGGAAGTATAGTGCATTTCTAGACAAAGCTTGTTCAAGCTTATTGTAAGTTTGGTCTATCTGCATGTTGAAGTGCATCAGATTGACTCTCATCACCATGTAAAAGGTAAAACTCTCTTATCGAGGTTAGGTACAGATGCAAAGGGACATGACCCAGGGAGTGTCAAATGACAATGTGTCATCATCATCAGCCAATTCATACAATCATATTACAACAAACTCATCTTACATGTCGGTTATGAGACAGGCTCGACAGAGTGGATGGGATGCTTTGTATGCAGTAAATTCGGCAGCGACTGGTTAATGAAGTGTCTCATGAATCAACAACTTGAGCTTCAAGTTTCTCAGTTTTTGTTGAGTTGCATTGTGATTTCAACTCAAGAACGTCACTGTTTAGCCTGTGGAATTTCACTATCTTAATTTCTTATTCTTTCAATCATACATCGCCAGAAATGCTCCCGTGTGGCTACATCGTCTACTCACCTTGGAAGCTCAGCATTAAGGTGCATTGGTGAGATTCTTTTCGATTTTGTCTGGTGTCTACTGACATTTCCATCTATCTCTTGTATTTCATATTATATCACCGTGAACAATCATGTACTTTTCAAATCTAATAGTGTTAAAAAAAAAAAAAAATTTCTTATTCTTTGTGTTCTATCGAAATGTTGTGACATTGTCGAACCTGATGGTATCATCACTAGACAATTGTGGCAAATAATAATATAAAAAATTGCATAATTCTATATAGAAAAAGAAAAATTATTAATCTGCTTTTTTAGATGGAATTCTTTTCAATTTTAATTATGTAAACACATGGCTTTCATTGATTAGACTAATGATGATAAGTCTAGTATAAATTATAAAATATTTGAAATCTGTTACCTTATCATAGGCGATACCAAGGAGTTAAGACTGATTTACTTCTGTTTTGGACTCGGTTTAAATGCCATTTTCCTTATTACCATTTTTGCAAATGTATTTAGAGAAATTGTTATTCAATGGTCAAAATTCAGACAAACATATATATCCACTGTAATTTTTATTTCTTCTTCTTCTTTCAAAGATGGTGTTGATTATATATTATACATTGATGATCCTGAAGACTAAAGAAATTACAATAATGGCCAACTGACAAAACGGCTCCTTCATTCATTTCAAAACTCCTTTCAGTTTCAAGAATCATCTCTCTCACAACGTATACATACACATCCCTAAGCGTTTCTAGCTGCATTCTCAGTTTCTCACATGGCGTCTGGTCTCTACACCTCCTCAAAACCATCTCTGTCTTCATCATCATCATCTTCCTCGTGGCTGTTCTTGCTAGTGACCCTTATTCCTATATCCTTAGCCTGCTTTGCCTTCCTCCTCCAATGGCCAGAAGGAATCAACGATTGGTTTACTGATAACCATCTATTACAAGGAATAACCTCAATCTCCAAGAAACGTTCTGACTCAGGCTGTGTTTCTCTTCTTGGCCAGAGCCATGCTACATCGTTTCCTTATCTTAAAGATTTAAACCTTGACAGCAAGCAGGATCTGAAACCAAGGGTTAGATCTCTTTGAACCATTCTTGTTTTCATTTTAAGATAATATATCAATGATAATGAAAGATGGTGTGTTTTGTGTTGTGGTAGATATGTATAACAACAAGCACTTCTGCTGGATTAGAGCAGACATTGCCATGGATATTCTATCACAAAGTCATTGGAGTTTCAACTTTTTATCTATTCGTTGAAGGCACTGCTGCTTCCCCTAACGTGTCTAGAGTTTTAAAGACTATCCCTGTGAGTTTTTTCCAGAGTTCTTGATTGGTCATTATGTATCCATGTTCCTTCTTTCTCACAATGACATTTTTTAATATATTTTAAAGGGTGTAAAAGTTATATACAGGACAAGAGAATTAGAAGAAGAGCAGGATAAAAGGTATTATTTTGTCTTGTGTTTTCTAATTATGTTATGGGACTTATTGGTTCTTGACTGGTGTAATCTTGTGCGTTTTACATCTTTGAATCTTGATCCATCAGGACTGGTCTAAACTGGTTCTTGTAGAGGTGTAGTCATTGATCAAATATTTGAGAGGCTTTTATTTGTGTTAAATCTTTGAATTAAGACTAGCCAGTCACCTGTTTCTTGCAGACGTGTTCTTAACTTATTATTATACATCAAACAATTTGAGAGGATTCGTCACATTTTATTTTATTTACAGCCGGATTTGGAATGAGACTTGGTTACAAAAATTCTTCTACAAACCATGTAACTATGAGTTATTCGTTAAACAAAACTTGAATATGGAGATGGCTATCACCATGGCTAGGGTACTTTGTTACACTCCCTAGTAGTTTTAACACAATCATACTCAACATTTTTTTTTAAAGATTCTCTACTTGTTATAGGATGATGGTATGGACTGGATACTGCATCTAGACACTGACGAGCTTGTGCATCCTTCTGGAGCCAGTGAATATTCGTTAAAAACTCTCTTCAGAGACGTTCCTGAAGATGTGGACGCAGTTATCTTTCCAAATTACGTGAGTTATTTGATACTTTTGAGTTGTTTTTTTCTTTGTTTTTCGGTTTGTTGATGTTGAAAAGTTCTCTTGTTTCAGGAGAGCAGTGTTGAGAGAGATGATATCAAGGCACCTTTCACTGAGGTACACAACATTCTATCATCATCTATATATATAATAATACTATAAAACTAGCTGTCTTGATTTTTTTAATAAATTTTAGGTATCAATGTTCAAGAAGAACTATGAACATGTTCCAAGAGATGTTTACTATGGAAACTATAAAGAGGCAGCTCATGGCAATAACAACTATTTTCTTACATATGGAAATGGTAAATCCGCTGCTCGGATTCAAGATCATCTCCGTCCTAATGGTGCTCATCGTTGGTATAACTACAAGAAGAACCCCAAGTATGTTCCCTTTCCCCCTCCTCTTGACTTGGCTTATACATAGAATTAAAATCTGACATTTATCTTTGTTGTGGTAAGTTTCATTTTCCTAGATGAAGCTGTGGTTCTGCACTACACATACTCAAGATTTTCAGATCTTACTTCAAGACGAGATAGATGTGGCTGCAAACCAACTAGAGAAGATGTCAAGAGATGTTTCATGCTTGAGTTTGATAGAGATGTGAGTTTTTTTATTTTAATTTTATTGTAATAGTTCTTGTTCAATCACATTTGATCTTTTGTTTTTGTGTTTCATGAAGGCATTCATCATTGCTTCAACGTCAACTTCAGAGGAAATGTTGCAGTGGTACAGAGAACATGTTGTATGGACTGATGAAAAACTGAAACTGAAACTTCTCAAGAAGGGAATCTTGACTCGCATCTATGCACCAATGGTTATAATACAAGAGCTAAGAGAAGCAGGTGTGTTCAGCTCAGTGGTGACCTCAGCTCACATGTCTTTCTCTAACAACTCAAGCAATATAGCTAGAAAATCTTCATCATCATTTCAAGCAACTGTTAGGAAAGTGTTGGAGTTTGATGATCTTGTTGATGAATCTAAAGCAGAGTCAGCCTTACCACCTCAATATCCTCCAAGTGTTTAAAACTGAGTCTGATGTAACATTTTTTTTTTTTGGTTGGATTTTTATATACAAAGAGGAGGAATATTAGAGCAGGCTATGTGGATATCCTTGGTCCATATTTATATACAAACTCTTTATGTAGAATGCTTCTTCTGTTACTTAACATCACAGTTCTTGATAGTGTCATTAGCCAAGTTATGTAAGTGAACAAAAAAAAAACAATGCGCGTGTACATACGCGCCATTGTGAGCGAGTGAACTTTGTACAAAGACACTCCTTTTTTGGCGGTTCTTTCTTTCTTTTGTTGTGTCCATTTATCGATGAACAAGGTCCTTCAGTTAGGTCTCCAGAGCTCCGTTGTCCAAGCCGCCAAGTACGTGTTCTTCTTCTTCTTCTTGTTTAAAGTTTAGGCCTTTCTGTGTTTGTTGCCTTCTGATTCGCTTCTTACATTTAGACAATTCACAAACCAAACCCTTGATTTTGGATGTCTTCTGGGTTCTGTCTGAATTGCAAAAGTTATGACCTTTATCAATTTTCGAATGTTTAGTGTGTTAAAGTTGGTTACTTCATTGATGATTCTAGGTTTCTGGTGGTTCCCTTTAGGAGGTTAAGATTTGGCTCAGCAATCGTTAGTGTTAGAGTAGGAGCAACGAGTTTCAACAAGAGACTTATGTCAAATGCTACAGCTAAGTCTCTACCTTTATCTATCAACAACAGCAAGGTAAAGGAAGTGAAGTTAGTAGCAGCAGCAGCAGCTACTGATCAGAATTGTCATCAGATGGTTAGTGCTAAGGGTTGTGATGGATAAATTTTAGTTTTTTTCTGGTGCTAAGGATTTTTTTTTCGTTTCTGGTTTTGATGTACAGGGAAGTGATAGTGATAGAGATGAAACGGGAATTGTTCAGGATGATCAAAAGCAAATTGAAGCGATGACGGTTCAAGAACTTAAAGCCACATTGAGGCAAGCTTATGCGACTTTTTTTTTGTTTTATTTGTTATTGTTTATGTGGATCTTGCTCTTTGTCTGAACATGTGGAATGGTTGTGTAACAATCATGTTACAATGGTTTTTTTTTTGTTGCATAATAGGAAGCTTGGACTACCTGTTAAGGGACTCAAAAAAGAACTTATCTCAACTTTACGGCTTCACATAGACAGCAGTTTACCAGGTATGTCCTTGCACACCAAGAACACAATTCTATCACTATCTCTATCTCAATGTAATAAGGAATGTAGACTTGTTTGCATTTAGTTTTTAAACTTTCTATAGCTTCTGATATCATGTGAAGGCAGAGCAGAATCTTGGTTTTTAGCTCTGTCGTTCTCCATTTTCTCTTTAGTAAAATCCATTTCCTTGACTTGTTTATGTCTTACAGATGAAAGTTCTGGTGCAGACATAAAAGAGACTATTTCATCTACCCGCTCAGAAAGTGTTACTATCAAAAGAAAAATCAGAAACCGGGAAGAGTCTAGAGAAGCTTATGGCAGTGACCATGAAGAGAAGAGAGCTAAACAGACCACTGAGAACAAGAACTTGAAAGTTAAAGTTTCTTCAAAAGAGGAAGAAGCATCATTGATCATTTCTAGCCAAGTCCTTAAAACCGATGAAGTCATCTCATCCTTGAATCAAAGTGAGCCATGGACGGTACTTGCCCACAAGAAGCCTGAGAAAGACTGGAAAGCTTATAACCCAAAGACAATGAGACCTCCTTCTCTACCAGAAGGTACCAAATCTGTGAAGATTATGACTTGGAATGTTAATGGATTGAGAGCATTGTTGAAGTTAAAGAGCTTCTCTGCTCTTCAGCTTGCCCAAAGAGAAGATTTTGATGTGTTGTGCTTGCAGGAGACTAAAATCCAGGTCACTACATAACACTAACCCTTGCTTAAGTAGTTTCTGCTTCATATTTATCCTAAGTATGATCTATTGCACTCATGGCAGGTGAAGGATGTTGAGGAAATCAAGAAAGCTCTTATTAATGGCTATGATCATAGTTTCTGGTCCTGCAGCGTCTCAAAACTTGGTTACTCTGGAACTGTTATTATTTCAAGGATAAAACCACTCTCGGTTAGATATGGAACTGGTCTATCTGGATCAGATCATGACATGGAAGGACGCATTGTGACTGCTGAGTTCGACTCATTCTACTTGATAAACACTTATGTTCCTAACTCTGGAGATGGCTTGAAAAGACTGGTAACTCCTCAAATTTAAGGCATTTAAGTTTTCTTTAATTTTTAACAAATGTTTTTGGGGGTTTTGAAGTCATACAGGATTGAAGAATGGGATCGAACCCTCAGCAATTACATCAAAGTATGTGTAACAAATGTTTCATTATATTCTTTCTTACACATACACCTTAATGGCATTTTTTTTGCATCTGCCAGGAGCTGGAGAAGACTAAACCTGTAGTCTTGACTGGTGATTTAAACTGTGCTCATGAAGAAATCGACATCTACAATCCCGCGGTAACTAACTTAGATTCTTGTTTTTGATGTCATTCAGTAACATTGAAAACTATAATCTATTTGATGTAGGGGAACAAGAGAAGTGCTGGTTTCACAATAGAAGAAAGAGAATCATTTGGAGAGAACTTCTTGGAGAAGGGCTTTGTAGATACTTTTAGAAAGCAGCATCCTGGTGTTGTAGGTTATACTTATTGGGGTTATCGTAGTGGTGCTCGCAAAACCAACAGAGGTATGTTAAGTCTGCATTAAAAACTGTTGATAGTTGTTTTGTTCCATGTTCAGATAATTCATATTAAAACTAGTGAATTGGTGTGTGGAAACAGGATGGAGACTGGACTACTTCTTGGTATCTGAATCGATTGCAGACAATGTCCATGATTCTTACATTCTCCCTGATATCAATGGCAGTGATCATTGCCCCATTGGTCTTATTCTCAAGCTCTGATCTATTTAAAAGCTTCACGTTCCATGTTTTTAAGGTGTTTTGGCTATAGTTCTAAATGTCTTTCAGGGAGAGAGAGATTCACGAGATTTACTTATGTGAAATTTGGATTTGTTTATCTTTCAGTATAGATATTACCTCAAACAGAACAATCAGTTCCTTGTATTGGCTTATCTATCCTTGAGTTACTTGGATTGCGCTTCTTGTTCACTGATTCTGCACACACCAAACCACCATATCATCGCAGTAGCCTCCTCTCTCCTTCTCTTCCTCTCAACATCTTTAAAACTCTGTCTAAGCCATTAGTTAAATCATATGCGTGTAATCATAATACGGGCAGCTCAAAATAGTTTATACGATCATTTCCACCATTATTTCTTGGTTTTGTCTGTATGTTTAATGATTTTATATACTTAAAAACAGAATATATTTGTTAGAAAGAAAAGAAAACGTTACACACACTAATTTTTTTTTGATAATTTTATAATGCTTTTTCTTCCAATGCATGCTATTTTTATTTAGTTCATGTAAAAAAAAGTACTTGGCCACTTGCTTAGCCGCAACTTGCAAGAGATCAATCAAATCAAGGCATTAATATAATTGACATCACATGTTTTTTTTCCTCACAAATACACTCAAAACACACATTGCTTCTCTTATGTTTCCGCCACAAAAATAGCAAATCCACAGATAATCAACTGTTTGTTTTTTTTTTTGTATTTATTAATCTTAGTTTACATTACATAGCAGCAACAGAGGCAATGATGGGCTGAGAAGGCTTGTCATTGGCATGGCCTTTGCAGACGTTAAAGCCGTACCAAACATCATTTGGCAAGAAGAGGTTATAGTAGAAAGTGACTGATCTGATGGATGAGCCGTACACTTTGACATTCTCTGGTTTCCAGCCGTCGGATCCTTGCCTGAGTAGGTGGAGATAACATACGTCACGCATACACGGTCCGTTTATCTTGTATGTGTCTGATGAACACCTTTCAAATGCCCTTGACTTTGGATCGTCTAGTCTCTTCACGTATACCTGATCACCCAACAAAAAAGGATTGCATGTATAAGGTTAAGATATATATTCAGTATTTTTACCCTAAACTATTTCACATAGGAAACATAAGAAAATGTGACGAAATTCTAGATTAACACCTTTTTAATGTTTTAAATGTAAATCATTGTATAACTCATAAAATGCAAGTTAATATACCTTTGTTTAATTGCTATATGGGTTGAAAACTCATGTAATTCAACTAATATTTGGAAAATATACTCCTCGATTTGAACATGTGATTTCTAAAATCTTTAGTACGTAATCCAAGAGTTCTAATCGTGTTTTTTTTTTTTCAGTGGAAGTAGTCTGCTCTATTATCTTGATTACAAATTATTGAAAGGGAATTATGTGATTAAAAACTCATAAATTCTATTGATTAAGGCTTTATTTTCCATAGAAGTAAATCTGATGTATTGATAGATCCAAAACTCAGAAAGTCAATGAAGTAAAAAAAAAAGAAAAGAAAAAAGAACTGACCTCGTTGCCGTACACATCACCAAAGGCAATACTGATCTTATCTCTAGTGTAAGACACCGAGGAACAGCTTGTCTTAATGATCACTGTGTAAGAACATACTTTCGCACCCTGAAATTTAGATCCAAAAACAAATCAGTTGACCGGTAAGTTTGTATACTAATGTCCTGGATCAATGAAGCGAACTGGTATTACCTCTAGCTTTGGTTTAAGGAGAAAGGATTCAACCGGTCCAGGTCTTGTGGTGACGAAAGATCTTGCAGATGTGAACGAGCACAACGCAAAGAGGATCAAAGAAATTGCTACACGGAACATGTTGGTGATCAACGTCTACTTTGAGTTGAAATGATTTGGAGATGAACAAAAAGGTCAGCTCTATTGTTTGTTTGGACCAAGAAATATTCTAGAGAGAGAGAGAGATATCGACACGAGGATCACGTTCATTTTATACTCCAAACTATTTATGTTTTGTTTGTTTGTCAGAATTCAATTGGTTGTGATTTTGCCAACTAGAATTGAGCTGTCTTTTTCAATTGTCTTTTATGCATAGTTTTGCTCAACCACTATAGAAACAAATATACAATCATCATAAAGGAAATTTAGTAAAATTAGATATGTACAATTTTACTATTACCTTGAATATCAGTCAGATTTGGGAAGTACTCTTTTCTACATTTGCTCTTTCCTATTTTGGTAACCTTGTCTATGAAGTAAGATCTGGAAACAAAGTTCATTTTGGATTCTGTTTTTTTTTTCTTTTTTTGGTCAACATCATTTTGGATTCTCATTTATTTTTCCTGTTGGGTTTGAAATTGGATTTTTGTTTTAGTGTGTATTCGCCATTGGGTTACTCAAACACTGGGCCTTGTGCTCTAACTAAAATAGATGCATGCTAACTAAAATTCAATATGTTTATCATTTTACCAACTATTTTTTGTACTAGATTATTTCTTGTAGAAAATTTAAAATTTGATGTCTTTCTTTTCTACAAAGGAAAACCCTTTATTGATTCTTGACCACAAGATTATAGATTTTTATTATTACATTAACATTAATCATAATTTTGAAGTAAGAATTAAAAGAAAATTTAAACCTATAAATACAATAGGCAACATTTGTATACATCATTTGACTTGGTCATAATAAAAAAGATAAAATGCTCGAAAATTTGAAGACTAGTAGTTTGTCGACCATTCAAAATCATTGATATTATGCTTTGTAACAAAAGGATTATAAGACAATTACACAAATGACTCCTTGATACAACAAGATCAAACAAATCCACAATAGTATTATTTATATAATTTTTATGTTTAACTCAAACTAGTTCACTTGAGAACAAATTTTCCTAACCTCACCATCGACATCTGTTTTTACATCAATGGAACTCATCTTAACCATAGCTTTACCAAACTCATTATCAAACCTAAACCCTAACAAACCTCTGATAGTACTCGCATACTTCTTCACCTCGTTATTTGTCTCGGAGTCCGACCAAAGCCGTTGGTCTGATTCCAAAATACCGTTACCGTCTCGTAGGTTCTTGAAGAAGCTTACATCGAAGTTCGATGGACTGCCAATGTCAAGAGCGACTCGTTTTGAACCGTCTCCATTGGGAGGACAAAGAGTCTTGAGTTGTGTAAGAAACGAAGGGCTTATGGTTGGGTCGGAGTTTCCGGTCACCGTGAAATTGTATAAACGGTAACGGAAAAATTGACAGTCCGTTTGTCCTATTGTATGTGCACCTGCATGCATGTCCTCATCAAATGAGGATAGTGTGTTAATAATTTGGAGAGCAAATATAATTGGTACATGTTCATTTCATTGCATAACAGCTATGAACAAATCATGTAGCACAATTTTTAATGTAGTGGTTCAACTAATGGAAAGAAAACATTACTGGATAAAATATCTATGAACAAATAATTACTCATAAAAAAAGAATTAAATAATGTAGCAAGAAAATATATAATAATCTTTTTAAAACTAATCACTCATTTTGTGCCGGTAAATCGGTAATAAGGAGAATATAACCAATGAGAAGTTGACACCAAACCTCTTGCATCATCTATTAGACTCTACTAAATGATTAGAAGTTCGATTTACACTGGGAAGAATCTACCATTTAAAGAAAATTTAATTTAACTTTGTCTGAAGATGTATGAAAAATTCGGGTTCAATTTTTTTTTATTTTATTATAAAAATAGTAAGTAGACTATAATGACTAATGAGTGAATAATGTATAACATACCAAGTAGAGTAACAAGATCATGAGTATCCAAACCCTTAGCTTGAAACTTTTGCTTTTGAACAGCAACAGAGTCAAGTGGAGAAGGTAGGTTCGATGCTTCCGATGCTAATGAGATTCTACCGTCTTTCCTACCCGTTGGAACTGTCCAGCTTGGTCCAGAACTCTATTCCAACGCGTAATCAATTAAAATAACCAAACGAATTTAAGTAAAATCCTAATTAGGTTTAGTAATGGCAAACTTGTGTACCAAGGCAACAGCATCACGAGCAGAAAGTGCAAGTATATCTGCACATGACACAACTCCTGGACACACAGACTCAAGCTGGGCTTTCGCATCATCTATCACTTCAAACCCTCGTAGACCGCTACTCGCTGGAGCTGCTTGCTCCGCAGATTTTCCTTTTATCAAAACCGAACCATCACAGCCCTAGTGTATAATTTGGTCAAGTTCAACAATCAATAAACTTGTATATATAATTGAATTACTAATTAAAGGAGAGTTGAGATGAAAGAAGAGTTGAAACCTGAACAAAACAATCATGAAAATGAAGTCTAAGCAAGCCAGGTGAAATGGAGGGATCAGAATCGAAGTGGGATTCAACGGTGGAACGTACTATGGACTCAGCTTTTGGACATGAAGTTGAATAATAACCATTTTTTAACGACTGACTTCTCACTTCTGTTCCCAACACCAACACTATTATCATTACATAACAATATGTGCGTAAGTAAACTCCCATTTTTCCTGTCTTTTTATAGTCTCTATGATCGATCAACGTACACTGATGCTCAAGCACTAACACAAATGAGTATATATATACACAAAAGCACACACTTATTAGATACACATTAATCATATGCCAGCTTTTGTCTCAATGGAACCGTGTGGGGACGCATAGTGCCTTCTTTTCCCTTTTGTTTAATTATTTCTATTGGTAAATACACTTGGTTGCCACTATGATGACTGAATGGGTTAGATTTATATATTATTTATCATATTATTTCCGTTACATATTATATCTGTAAATCTGTAAAACATGCGTTATTCGGAAGATACAGCAAAAAATGTAATAATTAATTTGTGTGAGAGTGACGAAGAAGAAGCAACAATTATTTTCATACAGTTTTATTTGCAAAATATATAATGTCTACGAGTTTCGTGTTAATGTCTGTTTCAAGATCAATTTAAAAAGAATAAAATTTTACGTCCTTTCAAATATCGGTGATTCGTTTGCTTTACGTAAAAGCTTCTTTGATCTCTCCTCAAAACTTTATCAGTCCATGAAGTAAACGAACGCGTTCACAACTTAACTCCCGTAGAAGCCGTCACTAGTGTTTCCCGTTCACATCAGCATCTCTTGTAGTTTCAACTCTCAATCCAAATCTTTCTTTTGTTTACTACAAAAATAAAAAGAAGAAACCAATAATAGAGATGATATTAGTATAAAAGAAAAGCGATAAGGATAAAAACCCATTAACCATCTCTTGTTTGGTAGTATTACACACACACACACACCTTCATGGTTCCAACCTATAATGCATGGAGCATAATGGGCAATATTGGTTTAGTATTAGATTGTACGCAAGTGTTTGTATTATATTGACAAGAATTTACTTGATAGTGTTGATTCCGTTAGATGTATTGTAATTATTTATAGATATGTAAAACATGCGTTATTGGGATGTAATATTAATTTTATGTGATTACGGAAAAGAAACAATCCAATTCATTCATCACTATATATAAAGAATTGTACAAATGATCTCTTGTATGGAGAGAGTAGAGTGATAGAAAACCTATGATATTAATCAAAACAGGACTAAGAATTTGAAGCTTTTACCCTTTTTTTTTCCTGCTCATATCAGCTGAGAAATTTCAGTTTATTCATACAATTGAAGACAATGTACAATAGAACTCTTTATATAAAGAGAAAGTTAGGTGATGAAAAAAATCATTTGATAGCTCATATATAGCTCACTAATCAACTCATTGACTAACTTGTCAATTCTAACTCTTATATAAAAAGAGCAACGCAAAAATAAATTGTTAAAATGGTGTGAAGGTCTCAGTGAAACAAAAGTTCAGTCATTTGCTTTTTTTTTCTTCAACGCAATGGCAAAAAATATCAACATCATCCTGAGTTTTGAACAATCTCCAACAAGATATAACAAACAAAACCATTTTAAAGATTCTCTCTAGCAAGCTAATCTCTAAATCTCTCGATCCCAAGTTGTTTTTTCCTCTCGCAAGTATGATGGATAAAGAAGCTAGAGGTCTACGTCCATTGTTTCTCCACCTTGCTCTTCTTCTTCTTCTTCGTTGCTACTGCTTGTCCAAAGCTTGATGGTACGGTCATGTGACACAGTTGCGATACATGAGCTATCTGCAGTGATATCTAAAGAAGCCACTTTTGACTCGTGTCCTGCTAAGCTTTTCACAAGCGAGAAGTCTCTGCCTGACCATATCTGTTATATACAAAAAAACGCAAAAAAAAATAGAAATCAAACTATATGCAAATAAAATATAAGGCAAGGGACTAGAGTAAGAGTATTTACATTGACTTTCATGTCGTATGATGCAGTGGCCAGGAAATAGCCTTCTTGTGGTTCGTACTTAACTTGAGACACAAGGTTAGCATGAGCAGGTATGATGTACAATGACTTTCTCATTCTTAAATCCCAAATACGGCATTGATTATCCTCACCACCAGATGCTAAGTGATACCCATTCGGAGAGAAGTTCACTGAAAGAACCTGTAGACGCATAAAGAAACATAGGAATATTAGTATATGATCTCTCTTTTGTCTGAGTAAGAGGATCAGAAGGAACAAAAAACTTGGTCTTACCGGTTTGATATGTCCTTGGAAGACGAGAATACTCCTACCAGTGCGGAGATCCCAAACCCGTGCAAGTGAATCAAGCCCAGAGGAAGCTGCTAATGCTCCATCTTGTTGAAACGCAATTCCGTAGACGCTGCGACTGTGACCTTCTTGCAAAAGCAGTTCTGCTCCTGTGTTTATATCCCACAATCTCCATGTTTTGTCAAAGCTTGTTGTCCCTAGGTACTTCCCTGATGGGTGGAATGCAACACGTGCAAGACGGTCCAAGTGGCCTTCAAAAGTTTGTAAGAGTGTTCCATCGGTTTTCCACAGCTTTGCGGTTCGATCAGCAGAAGCAGTTGCTAGAATATCATCCACAGGGGAGAACACTACATCAGTTGCACGTTCTTTGTGATCCTTCAAGACAGCAATCTTGTTTGTGACTTGAGGCATTTCCCATAGTTTAGTAACTCCACTCAAAGAACTAGACCAGAGAAAAAAAAACATGAATTACTAAAACAGAAGATAAAAGTTTGTACTTAAGAGTGAGAAGAAGAGACATACCATGTGGCAAGTATTTTTCCATCTCTTGAGAAGGAACAGCCAGTTAAAGGACGATCATCTCCAAAGTTACTGCAATCAAGAACCATGCCTTTAGCCTGCTTTAAAGCCCATTTAGTCTCTGCCTCCACATCTTCATCTGGATCATCCCTCCTCCGCTTTGCACGCTGAATCCTAACAGCAGCTCTCTTGATAGAAAACTTAGCAATCTCTATCCTAGCCTCTCTAAGCTCCTTCGGACCCTCAGTAAAAAACGGGTACTGAATTTCTTCCTCATCCACTTCATCTCTTGGAGCCGCATCGTCTTCATAAGCTTGAAGCAGTCTATCCAACTGTCCACCGATATCAAGCCTAGCCATAATCTGAGCCAACCTAGCTCTTCTCTCCATCTCCTGTTCCCCAAAGAGTGTAATGGGCTCACCTAGTCGTCTAAGCCGGTCTCTAACGGACTTGTCGTTTGTTGGCACTGCGATGGCAGCAGCACGGCGCTTTATAAGCAACTCCTGCATTGCCTTCTCTTGCCTTTCTCTGACCTGCCTGCTCTCCTCAGAAATCACATACTGTTCATCCTCTGATTCAGAGTCCGAGTCGCTAGCTTTGGCTCCACCGTTTTGAGGTGGCCTGAAGGTAGGTGGGCGGGCAAGTGGAGGTTGTGGTATTGGAGCCATTGGTATAGGAGCCATAGGAGGAGGTGGTATAGCAGAGACGCCTGCAGTTGTAGTAAAGAGAGTTAGGGATTGAACATTGCAAAGTAATCTACAATATTTTTTGTTTCCAACAAAAGCTATACTATTAAACTATCCTATGAAGATTCCAAACACTAAATATCAACATAAACCATAGCAGAAGGTTGATTCCGAGCACCACAGTAGCTAGTAATCTATAATCTTTAGATGTAAACAACAACTTGAAAACTAAGTAACTCACCTGGAACTGAAGGAGAAGCTGTTGGTATGAATGAAACATTATCTTCATTGTTGGGTTCCATGTTGAAACAGCAACCTAGACAGAAAAAAAACACAGATCAGTTCTCATGGGCATTGCCAAAACGACAAAAAGGTTGATACTTTGCTACGAGATAAAGACAGGTAGAAAAAGAAAAAATAAGTGGTAACTATAAACTCTCTTGGGAATTTAAACGAACAGTTAACAGGCATTATCATCATTAAGCTACATTGGCAAGTTTTTGTACCAATAAAAGCTAATCGAAGAAGGGGGATCGTAGCTTACTAGAAATCACGTTACTCTCTTCAAGACCTAAACACGAAGTAAGCTTCGAAGCTTTGTGTGTTCCTGAGAAAGAAGACCATAACCCTAATCAACAACCCAATTGTTAAAAAAAAAATTAGACTTTCTGAGAAGCGAATAGAAGCGAAAAGAGAGAGACTTTGGAATCGAAATAAAGTTCGACTTTACCTTTCTTCTCTTCCCTACAGAGACAGTCGCAAAACGGAGAAGAAGCAGCGAAGGAAGTCTCCTAACTGTAAAATCAGCGGTAGATCCGGTTTATACCCGAATTTTCATTCCATTGGGCCTTTAAATGGGCTTTCAATCATTCTTGAGCAATAGTATATGGGTTTTCTATTTTCTTAGGGCAAATGGGCTTCATATATAGAAACAAAGCCCATTTAAAGAAAGAGTAATTAGTTAGCAGCGAATTCGAAGAACCATTACTTTTGTGTTTTGTCTTTGGATTCCTTCGTTATGACATGAAACAACTTTTTTTTTTTTTTTTTTACAACTGACATGAAACATTTACCTTCCTAGTTTCACATCTTGTAATTTCTTCGCTTTTTGTTAATGTTCTCGTACAACTTTGTTACGAGTTGAATGGTACAAGAATAGTATATACACACTTAATGAGTCCTAGCTAGTCCTTCATATTGAAGAAGTTCACACAGGTTAAGATTATAATAAAGTGGAGATCTGCTCTCTTTAATGGTTATGGAATGTTGTTTACATTTACGAAGCCATGGAGCTTGTGTATGTTAGTTAACTAGTCTTATACGTCTGCAATAATGTCTTGCTCATGCTATAATCTATTTCTTTAAAAATTATAATGCTTGTCTTTTATCAATCAACCACAAGTGACCCTCTTCAATATTACTGCGGATAGATCTCTTCTATTTGTCACAGAAAATAGGAATAATTAGTACTTTTTGGACAACGGAACAATTAGTACATTGATACCATATATTACACATAAGAGATAAGACTGAGTTCGGTCCTTGACCTAGCTAAGAGTGGCATAGATTACAGCGATGGTCTAATTATATTTCGCATACCTATTTTCTCTACAATTGTTCGCAGTTTTTATTGTTTCCAAATCAAAAGACTGTCTTACAAGTATTGCTTGAACTATACATTTTTAGCCTCTCTACCATGTTTCAATAAAGTATCTAATTGGGGAAATGCTCCAACATAATTCTGAAACGTGACATACAAAAAGTTACTTTTTCAATCGCACTTTTTTCTTTCTTTTCCACAGTGTTAGTTTCTTCTGATGTCTCAAAAGTTGGCCAACCCCACAATTTTTTTCCTCAATACAATTATAGTTATTAGTAATTGGTGAATGGTATCCATCAGTCAAATGAGTCAGTCTAATATTCAAGATATTGATCCTCTACCATATCATATACACGTGGCGCAAGCCCAGACACGGCTTAGAGGAGGGGCCGTGCCCTTCACTGCATATGGCTCGTGACTTTGTGTTTCTCCTAAAGTGGTTAATCCACTTTGTATTGAGACTTTCAAGCTCATCCATTACGATAGACTTAATGGTTACTCTTTTTTTGCAGTTCTGGTTCTTAGAGTTTGTCTGCTCAATTTCTAAGTCTTTTAGATGTCTTTTCGCGTTATCTCAAGTTCTTTACTTACTCATGTTACTTACTTTCTATCTAGTGCAGTTGGTAAGGAATTGGCTCCACTTACCACGTGAAGATGGTTTGATAAGATCATCTCTGTGAGACTTGATGCTTGATTATTCATTGTTTTGAAATATTTACCTTAACTCACTCTAATATAAGATGTCAATGATTACTACTTCATCGAACTTAATAGCCAAAATGTTCCAACTTTGAATCTTGTTCATCAGATCTGCCTCTTTTATTTCTATCTAGTTTCAGAAAATCACTCAAAACGTATCTTCTAAAGTGTCCCTACTCCTTCAGAACTTGTTCTACGAGGTAATTATCATTCCCTTTTATATTATTTCCTCATTTTTACTGTTATATATAGTTTATGCCCACTAACACACAAGCTTATATTCAAATTATTAGTTCACATATGATCACTGTTATTATTCTATTTGTTTTGTGTAATCTAATAGTTTTCTTTGGCCTTAATTATAGACAAAACTTATTATAAGGGGTGTAACATTATGCCCTTGAAATTATTGTGTTAAAAGCTTTATGGAAAATGCTTATCTTTCTCCATATTATTATTCAGTGGGGTCCAAAGAAGACTGATTTGTCACAAACTGATTTACTCTCCATACATTGTGTGACGATATGCTGATCTGTTTCTCTGTGGAGATGTATCTTTCTTAGTGATGTAAGAGTTTTCTCAAATCTTGAAACTGCGCGTGCCAAAAATGGTCATTGTCATGAATCCAAGGGATCACTTGGCCTTGGTTTCATTTTTTTTTCAAACCTATTTTCTCTTTGCTTTCAAAATTCTAATTTGTGAAAGGGAAGGTGTCTGCAACATGTTTGTATATTTTAAAAAAAACAAGTGTTGTTTTCATATGAACTGTCATGACTATTTCCAGAAATAAATGCCAGAGTTCTCGCGTTAAAATCTATGATAATTTTGATTTAAGGTCAGTTTAGTTGTAAGGAAACGGTGAATCTATTGAGTTTGACTATTGTGATTAAGCCAATATAAACTGTGGAGAAGTCGAATAAGATCCACTCTAAAAATAAAAGTAAAATTAGAATTTTTACTCATGTCGTATGTAGTTTACCAGTCCTACTCCATGCAATGGTAAATACATACGACGTGAGTAAAAAATCCGGATTAAAAGTTAAACATTTATGGACTAAATTTAAAATGTATAAGTTGAAAAAAACATCAAATATATATATAATTAAATCACGCGTCTGTGTTCTGGTGGTCAAGACGTTACGTAGATCCCCAATGGATCAAGTTCGAATCCGCACCATACCAGATTTTCATGCGAATGGTCACCGGAACTTTAACATTCTCTCTCCAGGAAATGGTTTACCATTTTTTTTTTAAATCTAACTATTAACTTTTGAAATTATATCATTTCTTTATATTTAATATATTTTGCAAATGGTCTAGAAATAATTTGAGAAAATACAACAGTTTGCCTATGAAATGGGTTGTGGGATTAAGATTCACACTTAAAATAGACTTTTGTTTCCACAGAACTTTTACCACTGTAAAATTTTAAGATGGAGCCCAAAATAAGATGAAGAATGTGGTTGTTTGTCCATCATGCTTCTGACGACCCAAACATTTGTTTTTGTAGCTCTCTTTCCATGTTTAGTTAGAAAAGAAACATACGGTACACTAAGCTAAAATTATAAACTTTACAGGGCACATATTTTGCGCTTACTCTGAACTATCGAGCATGCATTTTATTATAATTAGCTGAACCATCTATCACTGTTCTATATGTTTTGGATTTGATCATGAATTTAACCATTTGTTAGGTTAATTGTGTAATATTTGCGTGTATGATGCATGAAAACGGATGTAACATACAAAAAAGCGTCAAGTACAAAAAAAAGAATCAGTAAAAATAGTATAATTAATTAAAAGAAATCTTCAACGTAAAATACAAATGTCTAGTACATTAGTTGATTTTTTTCATGGGGAAAAACAGTTATTTAGTTTAATAAGTAATAATTAAAATATCTATTTTGTATAGTAGACTTTTATAAAAGTTTATATATTTGAAGCTTATGTCTCTTGTGTTTAGACATGATTGTCAACCTGCTACGTGAATTTTAAAAAAAATAATATATAGATTGTATTATGAGTTTCTAGCTAATTAATAACGCGTGGAGTTATATAATGATATTGCAGGATCTATTTTCCCGCTAATTATAAAGTAAAATAAGAAACAATATATTATATTGGATTTTCTTATATAATATGTAGTAAAATAACATTTTAATAGAAAGCATCAACAAATGGTTATAATATGTAGTAAGTTGATAGTTTATTTACTAGATTTTTTTTGTGATGTCATAAACCTTTCATCCACATGGATTTCATGCATATTATCCAGAGATATTATCTGTAGATCTACGCTTGAAAATTGGATTCATAGTTATAGCCTTAATACCTAGATATGTATTTCCATATAAACACAATACAAAATAGATAGCTAATCATTCGCCACAAGACAAGGGAAAAAGGTGATTAGGTGTATATGTTGCTATGGACATAAACCAGATAATTTATTATTAATAAATGAAAATTTTCTTTTATTCACTGAATTGGTCTTCTTTTGGTTTCCTGATTGTCCAACAAAACCATCAAATGCTATAGTTAATTTTCCTTGAATATATTATAAAGAAGACAAGGACAAGTGGTACGTTTCTATAATAATTTAAGTAAATGATGTTAGCAAATCTTAATGAATGGTTCTCGCCATCAGAAAAGGCAATGTGCAGTATCGTTGTTGTTGATTACTCCTATGGGACTAAGGTTCTACAGTGCTAATAGCATTTTAAGAAGACGAATAATGAATATCACTTATGGTTTATATATATACACCTGCTCTCACAAATTCTGTACTGAAAACTTGGTTGGCTTGGTTGGAAGGATTTCATGATAATACGACTTGATTACAAAGTAGAGGGTTGAATTATTTCAGACCAAAACTTTGTGTTTACATTTTAATATAATATTTAGCGTTTTTATTTTCCAATTATATTTCAAGGTTTGGAAAGTCATTAATTATAATATAATTATTGAATGTTGAAACAATATTTTTGTATCCAAATGTTGCATCAAATACAAAGACATAAATATATAACACACAAGAAAAAAAGTTAGGGCCAAGATTGTAAACTTAAGTATGATTTCAAAATTTGTATAGTCTAACTTTTGTGATTAAAAGCATCATTATTCCTGGTTTGTTAAGTCGGATTCTTAATTAAAAGTTAAAAATATTTTGTTATATTTTTCTAAGAATCCCGGCTTAAGAAACCAGGAATAATGATGCTCTAAGACTACGATGTTTGGATGCATTTACATTTACATTTTAGTGGGTAAATGGAGCCACAACTTATAAGATCTTTAGCAAGTTTCGCCTTAGATGTTAGAACAACAAAACACAATCGTTGAAATATATGCCCTAGGGAGACTGAAGGTGTGGCCAATGAAACTCATTCCTGAAAAAGATATCTTCGATATTAAATTAAAGCAATTCTTTTTTTTTCTTTTAAAGAATTGTGCCAACATTTGGATCTACTATACAACTTGGAAAAGAAAGTTAAAAAAAAGAAGAAGAAAAGTTATACATAGTGGATGTTTATAAACATTTTGAGCTAAATTCTAATATGCTAAAACACATTCATTAATAGACAAAACTAAGTTGTTTTCCTCCAATTTGTTTTCTTACCCGAAATAGTAAATAGACAAAGAAAGCCAAATGATATCAGAAATAACGCACTGTAACATTTCTTTGGTTATAATGCAATTAATAGGTCTACAAATTACACTACGAGCTATATAGGTAATTGGTAAGTAGACTAAAATCCCAAAAATAAAATTTGTAACTTTAAAATGAAAATTGAAGGAGCGAGAAATAATACATATATATATAGTTTTCTGAAAAAAGGAAAGAAAACAACACATCACTGAGGAAAAAGGTTTCTCAATAATAATTGAAGACAAGCGAAACCTAAAATGTCAACGAAGTAGCCAATCACCACCTCCACATTCTATCTTGGGACCATTCTCTAATATCAATAACTTGAAATATCTAATTATATTCGGTTTATACCAGAATGTTTGCTTCTTGAATTGTCAAAAAAGATTGAAAATAGAGACTCATGTGTCACATAGTGGCAATGGTGGTGGTTTAATATCATATTGTGCGCATCATGATGCTACTTAAACAGTCTTAACATTTAACTAGCTTCTTATTGCAATCTTCACGGCGATTTACATGCGAAACTATTAGAAAAGAAAGAACTATAGTAAATGGAACTTTTGAGTGGAAAGTGACACTACACTGAGACCTGAAGAAAAACTCGGCAAGGCTGAAATAAACAATATAAAGAATTCACCACAGAACAATAAACCTTTACAAAGAAAGCAAACAACAGCTTAGTGCCACTAAATTGATAGAACGTCAATAATGTTGCTGTACGGAAATGGACTCACTTGGGTCTACTGAGATTCATGCTGTTCTTTGATAATGCATTGATCCTCCACAACAAGAAATTGGAGATGTATACATCATTCATATTAACCGGAAACAGCTTGGTTTATTCATGATGCTGACTGGTTAAGTGTAATCTGTTATTGTGCCACTAGACTAAAATGCTCTGTTATGCTTATGTCTAGATCTGTGTACTTGTTCACTACAACCACCAAGCTATTGTGAGCTACGATTGTAAATAACAAAGGTGAATTTAGCCCATGCCCCCAAATAATTGGGATAGTGTAATCATGAAAATATAAAAACAATAAAGCAAATAGAATGTAGCACTACACTGAAAAAGAGAAGCAAAAAAGAAGCAATGATGCTTATTAGACCACTGGTTTTTATTGCACACAAGTCTCATAATGCACATACAAGAGGAGGGATAGCTATTCACTACAAATCTGTTGACATAATTGGTCACTGTAATCTTCTTGCTTCTTAGCCAAGACGATTGCTCTATTACTCTCATATCTTATGAATCAATCTTCCAAAAACCCAATTTATTTTTATTTTAGTTTTGAATTATTTGTAATGCAAAAATTAAAGAAATAGTATTTATGTCTTTAAACCTATTATACAAATCTTAAAAATATTAGTCTTTATTATTATTATTTTTTCTCTCTCTACAGCGCTTCTCTTCTCTTATGTCTCTTTCTTTTTCTACCTTTCAATTCTTCATAATTTCATGATATCAAACAGAGAATAGCAACTAGGCCTATATTTGTTGGATACCACTTGATATTACTAAAAGAAAGATGAACCTATCAATGTACAACATTATAATTTTATTCAGCCTTTGCTTCCAACTGGGCATGCAAGGCCCCCTACATCTTTGAATCACACAACAAAAAGAACATGACGTATATGATTAGAAGTCACTAACAGTCAACACTATACACACATATCTTTATTGCAAGTACCACAGTGGCATTGATTTTTCAATTTATCTCTCACTCTTTGAGCTGCCCTTTTTATGTTAATTCTGAGCAAAGAGTACATATCACATCTAACTGAGGTCTCTAATTACTCCCGAAGCAAAATCATGACAAGTACTTACTTGATATTTCAGGACCACCAATATAAACAGAAGACTAGAATATTATGCCCACTTCAATATGTCATGCTGGCACTTATGGCAAGAGAAGATACACATGAATAGATCCAATCAGAACCACGTATATGCAACACGATTATTATTTTCTCCAAAGAATCTGGTACTAGGACTTCTTGGTTACATTATGTGCTTCAGACAGCTCTGCATTCATCTTGCAAAGAATAGTAGCCAATGTTGATGTTTTGGTCCTAAAAGATAACTAGCTTAATAGTCAAACTCAAATACTGCAAGAACTGACAAGATAAGCTGATGCAAAATGGTCCAATAAGCATGATCCAATGAGGTAACGTAGCTCAAGTACCATGAGACCCAAGTAAGGACCCTACTATACCATGTGAGACCCAAGAAGAAAAACACATGCAGTAAAAAAAATGTTTTTACCTTTTGTGCACAAAATCTTGGCAGGGTGAGAATGCAAGTACCGGTGAATCGGTGATGTGAATTATTTACCTAACATATAAAAAAGGATCCAATAAAATATGCATAACAAAGTAAAATAGTCACAGATATATCTTAATGACAATACAGCTATATAGTGAACACAAGTATATATGACACTACCGCCCAAACCCTTTCCTTTAAATTCTCTTCTCTTCCTCTGTTTTTTCATTCTTGAGAGTGCTCTAAACTTGTTATCTCTAGTTTTCAGTTTATCTCAAGAAAGTAAAAAATGGGATCAACCTCATCCATACAGTTCTGTAGAAGAAACAACAAAACTTTCCTCAGAATCTTTATGATCTTGGTTCTAAGTTGTATACCAGGTTTAACCAATCTTTGTTCCAATCCTTCTGTTACTACCCCAACAGATTTACTTCCTTCAAACCCTTCAGATACTCTTTCCTCATTAGATTCTCTCGACTTGGAGGGTTACATCAGCTTCAATGACGTCAACAATGCGTCCAAGGACTTTGGCAACAGATACCAGTTACCACCTCTGGCAATTCTCCATCCGAGATCAGTTTCTGATATTTCAACAATGATGAGGCATATAGTAGGGTCCACATCAAATCTTACAGTAGCAGCAAGAGGGCATGGCCACTCTCTTCAAGGACAAGCTTTAGCTCATCAAGGTGTTGTCATCAACATGGAGTCACTTACAAGTCCTGGTATGAAGATTCACAAGGGGAAACAACCTTATGTCGATGTCTCAGGTGGTGAGTTATGGATTAATATTCTACGTGAGACTTTAAATTACGGTCTTTCACCAAAGTCTTGGACAGACTATCTTCATTTGACTGTTGGAGGTACTCTATCTAACGCTGGAATCAGTGGTCAAGCGTTTAAGCATGGACCCCAAATCAACAACGTTTATCAGCTAGAGATTGTTACAGGTAAAACACTAGATAAACAATATGCAAACATGCAACACACACTTGTAACTTACAACAATGAGAAACTATATAAACAGGACAATAGGTAAACAATAGTTTTTCACATATTGAATCAGGGAAAGGAGAAGTAGTGACCTGTTCTGAGAAGAGAAATTCTGAACTTTTCCACAGTGTTCTTGGTGGGCTTGGACAGTTTGGCATTATCACCCGGGCACGGATCTCTCTTGGACCAGCACCGCATATGGTAAAGTTCCATCTTGAAGCATTAGGCATGCGGGTTCGGTTAGTTCCGGCCGGTTAGTTCGGTTCGGTCAAAATCTCACCGACTTAAACCGAGAAAAAGTTTGGTTTTCGGTTAGTTGAGTTTCAATAATTTCTACCAAGCTTAAATTAGAATTCGGTTAAATTTTGGTTTAAATTGATTAAATTTCAATTTGAGTTGGTTAAAAGTTCCATAAGTTCAATTCAGATTTTTGGTTAATTTAGTTCAGAATTTTGATATAGTTCGGTTAAATTTTTTTTTAAAGTAGAACCAAATTAATCAATTGCCGAACCGAACCAAACAACATTTTCTTTTAAAATTGTGGAAATGAACCAAACCTCCTAACCAAACTGAACCGAAAACCAAACATTTTGGTTCGGTTCGTCAGGTTTGGTTAATAACCACATGCCTATTGAGCATGGTTAAAGGAATATGTAAAAAAGCCAAGAGTATATACAGTATGATTCTCATAGCACCAGTTTTCTGACACTGAAATGATTTCTAAACAGGTTAAATGGATCAGGGCCCTCTACTCAGACTTCTCTGCATTTTCAAGGGACCAAGAACATTTGATTTCAAAGAAGAATGCTTTTGACTACGTGGAAGGATTTGTTATAATTAATAGAACAGACATCCTCAAGAACTGGAGATCATCATTCACTCCCAACGATTCTACAAAGGCAAACCAATTCAAGTCAGATGGAAAAACTCTGTATTGCCTAGAAGTGGTAAAATATTTCAACTCAGAACAAGCTAACACTATAAATCAGGTAAAATGTGAAAACAATATGCCATCAAACTAACTTGTCAGTAATCACTAACATAGCAAGAATGGTTGGTCTGCAGGAAATCAAGAAGTTACTTTCAGAGTTGAGTTACATTCCATCCACTTTGTTCTCATCTGAAGTGCCATATATTGAGTTTCTGGACCGCGTGCATAATGCTGAGACAAAACTAAGAGCTAAAGGTTTATGGGAGGTTCCACATCCCTGGCTGAATCTCCTGATTCCTAGAAGCAGCATAGTTGATTTTGCGACAAAAGTTTTCAACAACATTGTGACTAGTAATCACAATGGACCTATCCTTATTTATCCGGTCAATCAATCTAAGTAAGTGAGCAAAACTACTACTTGCAATGATTCTGAAAAAGTACAAAGCTACTACTAACACTTTTTGTGTGTGTGTGTGTTGCAGATGGAACAAACATACATCTTTGATCACTCCAAATGAAGATATCTTCTACCTGGTGGCTTTTCTACCCTCTGCAGTGCCAAAACCATCAGGAGGAAATGACTTAGAGTACCTTTTGAGACAAAACCAAAGAGTTCTTAGCTTCTGTGCAGAAGCAAACATGGATGTGAAGCAGTATTTGCCTCATTATGACACTCAAAAAGAGTGGAGATCACACTTTGGAAACAGATGGGAAACGTTTGTAAAGAGGAAATATAAGTACGATCCTCTGGCGATTCTAGCACCTGGTCAGAGAATCTTCCAAAGGGCATCATCACAAATATCTCCCATCCAATTACTCTAAATCCAAAAACGCTACATAACAAGTATACCGCACGTCTCCTTGTAACGGCTCAGCTAGGTAGCTAAGAGAGTGTTATTCATTTTTGTTTGGGAAACAACAAATCTTATACTGTATAGGATTCATGAAACCTATAAAGTGTCATTACATTTGTCACTATAGCAGGACATAGATGGTCCAAAAAGCTTCAAAAACATTCAGCAGAATTTGTTTCTTAGCTTCCCAACAAGTAAAAACTTATATTTTGCTACATATAAGCACAGCACACAAATCAACAAAAGCTCAAAAAAATCTCGAAATCAGTATTTCAAATACTCTCATTGTACATGTGAGATGATATTCATAACTCATTTACTAGCAGAAGAGCCTGAGAAACTTGCAGGGACTTTGCTAGGTGATACTTATGTGACCTTGTTATAAGGGCGTATCACGTGGTGTGGTCAGATGCTTGTTAGAGGGGAGATAAATAGAGACATCATGTCTTAAGATGGATGGTTGTTCTGTCTCTGAGTCAATGTAATCCTTATACTGTACCATTCTCTTTATGATCAATGAGAATTATATGCTAAAATAGTTTACTAAAGACAAACAAAACCATTTTTACTAAGAAAATATCAGCTTCATATATCCCAACAAACATTCTACTTTAGACTATATCCTGAAACGCACTCTAAAAGCCAAGCAAGCTCCGTGTGATTTATACAAGCTAATGGTTATACCATTTGAGTCCCAAACACACACAAAGAGAAGGCTTGTTCTGTAAGGTCTTATGTTAGCTGCTATACCAGTGAGATCAGTTATGACTCCATTCTCTGCTCCTTGCAATCGGCTAGCTTCAGTTTTAGTTTTAGCTGCATGATACAGTGTTGAAGCAGATCTTCTTTCTTCATCTTATAGTAATGTGTCACTTTCAGCTCCTTTGCTATCCCTCGTAGTTCCTTGCCTGTCTTGTCATTCAACTCGCTTAGTAAGATCACTGGTTCACCCATTGTCTTCCCACATCTTTGTCTAATTCGGTCTATCAAATCCAACGTAGAAGCTGAAAGTGGTGGAGGAACACTTGGACCCTTGGGTTTTGACTCGGTTGGTGGTGTTGTGTTAACCTCACCAGCTCCACCTTCTGCTTTCTGCTTAGTGTTTCTGATCAAGCTTGTGTTAGAAATTCTCTTTCTCTTCTTGGTTAGGACTGCCCCAGAAGGATTCAGCAGTGGCGTGTTCTCTATCTTTACCCTTGTCTCAGTAAGCATGTTCATGATCGGCTCGTCCTTAACAACCGTCTTCACAGCTTCAGGCATTGATCTTTTGCTTTTCTCATCATCACAAGGAAGAGCTTCGCTGACTTTCTCCGGTTCTTCACACATTTCTAGGAGAGACTCTGTTGTAAAAGGTTCAGAAGCAGTTTCGATGACTTGCAAGCTATCACTTTGCTTCTGCTGCTGCTCATCCTTCAATACTTCCCCATCTTCGTTTGTAGCATTTGCCTTCTCTCTGGTCTCAACCAATGGCGTCAAAGTGGAACCTCCATTATTCTCATGGCTTGTAGCAGATGGAGACTTGTTCTCTGGAGCTTGTTTTATAGGATCAAACACTTGGTGAGTAACCAAGGATGAACAAGAATGTTCCTCAGCTACTTCAATCTTGCTTTCCAACACAGGGCTCAAAGAGGTATCCACATCTTCTACAACCTGTCAATCATTGAAAAACACACACAGCATTTCATTACAAACATCATGGATGCATGAAAATGAATTTCACAAAAGAAGCAATCTTTATACATACCTCAACTGTTATTTCATCATTAGCTTCAGTCTCATGAGGCTTTAACCTTGCGTCTTCAGTGTCGTTAGTGGAACCTTTAGTCTCACTAGTAAGAGCATCACTGATACTAGATGTGTTCTCATCCTCGTCTACAGATGATTTTGCAGAGCTTGTGTCAGCATCAGGAAGTGTAGCACTGAGGAGAGTCTTGTCCTGTAAAACACACAACAAAGTACTAACCTGTGAATACAAAATAGACAAAGACAGAGACATTCAAATACAACATCAAATCAGATTAGCCTCTTACCGAATCAGAAGAGCCTCCTATATCACCATTCCCAGAGGAAGCCACATCCTTGTCAAGTTCATCAATCTCAACAACTTGCTTCTTCTCGTTCAATATCCTCCACACTAACTCACAATATCTCTCAATCTGGAAACTTTCCTCAAGCACATCTAACAAAACCCCCCAAAAAAGCAACAATTCTCAGCGATCAAACAGAATCATTAAACAATTAACAAAGACTCACAACAATTCTCAGCGATCAAGCTCAAACCTGTCCTGAAATCAAACCAAAACTCACAACCACGTAGAGGCAGCTTCCGAAAGGTATCGTCTTTCACAACTAAAACAAAAACAAAAAGTCACAAGCGAACAAACAAACAAACAAACAGTATAAAAATTAAAAAAAAAAACCCATAAGAGAGAGTAAAGTACCAAGTGGCGGACCCCAAAGATCATCAACATCATCATCATCCATCTCTTAAAACTCTCATCCTGTCAAAAAAATAAAAAGTCAACATTTTTCTCACCAAACAAGATAAAGAACGAAACTTTACAGCGAAAGAGTGAAGAAGGACCCAAACCCATACCGGAAAAAACACTCCCGTCGATAATTCCGCCGATGGGTCTTCCAAAAGTTTGAGTCTTTCTTCTAGGGTTCGTCTTTGAGAGAGAGAGAATTTAGAGAAAGAGAGAGAATTTAGAGAGAGAGAGGGATGGCAGTGAAGTGACGAACACACTCTACTATTTAGTGTGTAGAGAGAGAGAGAGAAAGGTCGGTTTTAAAACGGGGTTTAGGCTACAAATGGTGAACCAACGGAGGCGCGTGGAGGGAAAAGCTGTTCCCCGTTTTTGCCGTTTTAGATTCTCGTGGGGTCCACGTCAACTTGTTAATCTCAGCCGTTGGATTGTTTGACTTTTGTTTGACCACATAGTCTCTGTTTGTTACAGGGGGAATAAATGTTTTCTCTGTGTTCGCGTTGTGTATTTAAGATGATGGGCTTTTATGGGTCCAATGGCAAAAGCGTAATTATAAGGAGGATTGGGAGGGTGGGTCCCGCGGAGGTTTGGAGATCTTTTTTATTATTGGGCTGACATCTGACGTCGTACATTTGTTTCTTTTCCCAAAGATTTTCATCCCGCGTGACAAAGATTTTACATTAATGTTTTAAATTAATGATAAAGTGTTTTTGTTTCCGAAAATAGAAAGTATGTCTTCAATGCAACACCAATAAATAAGACTTTTTCTTGTATGATATAAGCACTTTTTAAAAAGTATTATGGAATAATTATGACTTTTAGAAAGGTAATTAGGCCAAGTTTGTATTCTTTCCACCTTTTCTCGAATAGATTTTACATTTGATTTGAGACACACAGAGATAGAATTATATACTACATTACGTTATGTTTTCATTCATAATATTGACCATGTGTCTCCAAATGATAAAATGTCACCATCAACTACATACAGTTCAACGACTACGCGTTAATTATAGACACAGCTGCTAAAATATATGGAAAAAAGAGTGAAAGTATTCTTGCATATCGGGTAACTGATTAGATGTTCTAACTAATTAACTATACAAGGATTAAACCTAGATGTTATCAATATTTTTGAATCTACTCTCGAATAATATTTCTAGGTGATTTTAGTGGAACTTGATGATAGATGACGTTCATGATGCTATATGTCTAGAGATATTTGACGTAAATATACACAAATTAATTAGTTTTTGAAACTCACCCTATTTACAATCGTTATGAAAGATATAACAATCCATACTCCCTCTGTTTCATTATAAGTGTCACTCTACAACTGTGCACACGGATTAAAGAAATAATTAATTTTACATATTTCCTATATAAAAATACAATTACCCATACACCTAACCATATTTTAACCAATAGAAAAACACATTACATAATAAAATTAATAAATTTTGCATTGAGAACCGAAAACGACACTTATTTTGTAACACAAAAAATTATCTACAACGACACTTAATATGAAACGGAGGGAGTATAATATACATGCAATGTTTTATTCCTTTAATTAATAACCGGTGTTGTTTTCCCATAATAAAAATGACTTCATAAGTTTATAGAATTCAACGAATACGCGTTAACTTTGCGTAGACTATAGATACAACTCCAATAGTGAAAATATACATACAAATGGCATATCTAATTAAACTTTCTAATTCTAACTATACACGAAAATTAATGTAGTTGTTATCAGTGTTTGTGGTTGGTAGATCTACGTTAGTATAAATCAAGTAGTCTCTCTTAGATATTATTTAGTGGACGTTGATGATAAATAACGTTGCACTTATACATGTCTAATGATCTTTTACGTAGATGAACCTCAACACTTGCCTAAGAAGAGAAACGATAAGAACATAGAAGGTGAGAGAGAATCACAAGTTCTAGTAGAGGATTGGTAAACACACAAAACTGGATCCGTGGTAAAAATAAGAATCTGCAGTATCTTACATATCTTGAATCACTGTCCTGATACAAGCAAAAAGAAACCAGCATTGAGATGATATCATGCGGAATTGGAAGAGGAAGGACCAGAAGGAAGCAACTCGTAGCCATCATGATGTTGAGAAGACTCAACAGGTATGCATTTGAGGATAACTGCTACAATCATGCTCAACGATCCTATCAAGATTGAAAGTAACCAATGTTGCCAGCTCAGTGGAACAGTGCTAGCAAATGCACCAAGAAACTCCACTATGATCACTTGAAACACAACTGTCACAACCATTACGCCTGTGAACACCCAGCTATTGAACATTCCCTTGAACACATTTATCTTCTCTATCTCACGGCTATTAACCTCATTGAACACCTGTTTGGATATTGTATACCATTAGACTCTTTATCTCATTGCTTGGTGTTAGTTTTTTGGAGTGTGTACGTACCTGGCAAAACACGAAGGAGTTGAAGATGACTGTGTTCAGAACAGCTGTCGAGTCTGGACCATTGAGATCGAGAAGAGATTTGCCTGCGAAGTTGAGAATTCCCAAGACGATCAACTGGTAAACGCTTTGGCCGGCGATGTTTCTCCACATGGTTTTGGTGATGAAGCTTGCGGTTCTGGCGATTGGTGGACGTTTCATTAAACCTTCATTGGGAGGTTCTGTGGCTAAAGCTAGTGCACCGAGTGTGTCCATGATCATGTTGACCCAAAGCAGTTGTACAGCCGTGAGTGGAGCAGACCCTAGGAGAAAAAGAAAAACAGTTATATATGACCAAACATGTGTTTGAATGTTGTTGTTAGATAGTACCTGTGATGCAAGCAGAGACGAAGTTGATGATTAGAGCAACGACGTTAACAGTTAGCTGGAACTGAACAAACTTCTGAATGTTTATATACACAGCACGTCCCCATCTAGCGACATTCACTATTGTTTTGAAGTTGTCGTCCATTATGATCACATCAGCATTCTCTTTAGCAACCTCTGTTCCAGCTATTCCCATAGCAAGTCCAATGTCTGCTTCATGCAATGCAGGAGCATCGTTTGTCCCGTCTCCGGTCACTGCAACTACCTCTCCAATTTTCCTCAAGTTGCTGACTAAAGTATGCTTGTCCAATGGCAGAGACCGAGCCATTACCTGAAGGCATAAACACAAGTTTTAGATCTTCTAGAGTAACAATCATTTCTAGCTACAATGTGAACGAACCTGAATCTTCGGTATAATGGCTCTCATTTCGTGAGGAGGCAAGTCCCTGAACTGTGAACCTTCTATAGCTAAACCTCCTTCAGTGAATATGCCACACTCCTTAGCAATTGCTTTAGCTGTGCTTATGTTATCTCCAGTGACCATACGAACGGTAATCCCAGCAGCTTGACAAGTCTGAACAGCTTCTCTAACACCAGGGCGTACTGGATCCTTGATCCCAACAACTGCTACCATTGTATAGCCTCCATCAGGAAGATCACCACTTGGAGCTTTATCCACATCTTTGTAGACCAAGCAGAGAGTTCTCAGAGCCTCCGAGGCAAAACCCTCTATGACGTCAGAGATATTCACAATACGTTCTTCAGTTAGTGGAACGGTTTCTCCATTAGAATCCACAACATTCTCGCACATTTTCAACACTATTTCAGATGCACCTTTGCAGAAAGCTCGTGCACCACCTCCAGGAAGCGCGATAAGAACAGACATCTTCTTCTTGTCTGAATTGAACGGCTCTATCTTGAGTATCTTGTGCTCTTTACGCTGCTCCCCAAAGTCACCACCTAAAAGCAAACCGAACTCGAGTATTGCTCTTTCTGTTGGAGATCCAAGGATCTGAGTGCTTCCATCCTTATCCTTAACAACTTCAGAACCAGTGTTCTGAAAGATGCCTTGCAAGAGAATACTCTGAACTTCTTCTTGTAGTTCCAACTGAAAGCTTTCTTTACTTCCCTCTTGCCTCTCATGAACCTTATCACAGATATATACTTTGTTGACCACCATGTGGTTGGTAGTTAAGGTCCCAGTCTTATCAGTGCAGATGCAAGTAGCAGATCCCATAGTCTCACAAGCAGCCAGATGCCTCACAAGTGCCCTGTCACTCATCAGCTTCTTCATAGCAAATGCCAAACTTAAAGTCACTGCCAATGGCAAACCTTCGGGTACAGCAACGACAATGATGGTTACAGAAATTGCAAAATAGTCAAGTAGCGTCAGTGCATCTTCAGAGGACCAGTTGCTGAAGCTACCAGCCGCTGCTTTCTCTAAGACAAACCTTATGCACAATACCACAAAGGTAAGCACAGCGAAGCTTAAACCAATCTTGCCAATGATTGTTGCAACCCCATTTAGCTTCACCTGCAAAGGAGTCTCGTCTTCGCCACCATCAATCAGCGTTTCCATCAACTTTCCCCACTCAGTCCTCATGCCAACAGTTGTCACCAACATCTTTGCTGAACCGTTCTGAACTTTGGTTCCTGAAAGAAGAAAAGGCTTCTCCTTATTCACATGTGATGGTTCACTCTCGCCTGATAAGCTTGACTCGTCTATCTCCAAGTTGTATCCGGATATAAAAACCCCATCAGCTGGAACTTGATCCCCAATAGAAAGATGAACCACATCTCCGACAACCAAGTCATGGATGGAGATCTCTTGTCTATTCCCATCTCTAGTGACCTGGACAATAATCTTCTTCTTCTCACGATCCAAGTCTATGAACTGCAAAGATTGCTTGTAGTCACTGATGGCAGTAACCATGACGACCAACAGTATACTCAGCAAGATCCCCGTCCCATCATACATTCCCTTTGGAAATCCTTCAGTGGCAATACCCACGCCTATTGACACTACAGCGCAGACCATAAGGATGATAAGAGTTATGTCTTGGAGCGCTTCCCAAACAAACATCAAGAACGATCTGGGCGGTTTCTCAGCGTAGCGATTTTCTCCAAAGATCTTTTCCCTGATTGGGAGTTCACTCGAACTAACGCCTTCAGTGAGAGATACAGATACTTTCTTTGCAAGCTCTTCAACTCCACCATTGTTTGCCAGGCCCCTAGTGTCATGATTCCGAACCATAGATGCAAGTTCATCTGGTTCCACAGAAAATCCAGCTTCCTTAACCTCATCGGTGAGCTTGTATTCCGGCCGACCAGCAGCTACAGAAGAAAATACAACGTGAAAACAAATAAAATCAGTTGTCTCCGATTAGGTAACTCTCTTAGATTTCACTTCAGTACTAGATATCTTACCACCAATGAATTGAAGAGCTGCCTTTTGTACGTAGAAAGCAACTCGGAGCTTTTCCTGGTCATGAAAAAAAAGAAAGTGAGTTAACAGATGAACTACCACAACATGTGAATCTTTGGTCATACATGTAACTAAAGAAAAGATAGAACAGTTTCCATGGTGCAATCAACATATGCCGGGTAAATAACCGAAAAGATCCATTCCTTACTTAATTTTCATTTTGCATTATATGACACAGTGAAGATCTCTGCAACACCAGCTAATTACTAAACTATGTAGGTAAAATGTCTTTGGAAGTGAAGCTTAAACCAGGATTAACAATAGCATCTGACTGCTTATCACTCCCCAGTCCCCGCTAAATAATGTATTGACTTAAGTTACAGATACGTAAACTGTAAAATATTTTACTCAGTGGTTGATTATAGAACATTTATGCTCGAGCTGAAACCGAGTTTAGATTTCAACACGAAATGAAAACTGACCAAAAGGAAAACGAATAAGACTATGAGTTCATCCAAAAGAGCCTAAAAACGCTCTTCTCTATTTGATTTAAAAAAGTGGACAGATAAAATTGATATCTTTGTCAGAACCTTAAATGGAAACAAACCTGCCGAAATTTCCTAGTAACTTCCTCACGCTAAATAATTGCGACACAAGAAGTCAAAGATACTGTCGTACTCGCACCATAAGTTAGTTAATTCATATTACAGATTACATGTGCTGATGATACTAGAATTTGTCCTTTGGTGTTTGGATTCAGTCGCTGAGATGGCCAATAATAGTAAGAACTTAAAAAGGGTCAGACTTTTCGCTGGCCTCTCAAAATTGCCTCTTCTTCTTAGTAGCGACAAGAAGTTATCCATTTGTAAACATAGTCGAAGACACTAAAGCATGTCATCATCATGTGTGTTGGCAAATGTGTTTTCTTTAGAAAAAATTTATCAGTACCCACACACAAAGATAACGCCGAAATCAATAATTCATCGTTAGTATATTTTTCATTATCCTAATTCATATCTTCCTAAGTCTTGTTCCAAAGTCTCCATTTTTTTTGGTCATCCAAGTATAAAGCAAAAGCATTTTTATATTACTACCTTAAACGACCGATGTAATATAATGTGTATTTGATTAATAACATAAAGAATCAAAAGAGATATTTTCATGATTATATCATCAGAGAAAAGTAAAACACCCTTTTCTCTTTCTATTTACCAAATAAAGAGGAAAACAAAAAAAAAAGTTTGGCAGGTAAAAAGTGTTGAAAGATAGAAAAGATTTGATTAGACTTTGAAAAAAAAATAACCTTTCTGTGTTGTTGAAGTCTTTCCTTACTGTTCATCAATGAACAAACAAAGAAAAGAGTCTACAATGGTGATATGACATTGGAGTTTTTTTTTCTTTTGATTAATTATTTCTTTAAACTTTTAAGTGTAACGACTGAGTTATAATTATTATTCAAGAACATTTTCTAAAAATATTTGGTCGGAGAAAGAACCAATCTGGAACAATAAAAACATCTAAAAGAGCAGAACCATAGTCACAAATATTCCAATCATCAAATAAAATGATTTAAAAAATAAAAAAAAAGAATAGGGATAAAAAAACCTGGATCTGGTGCCTCTTGGTGGCGTTTTGAGCTTGCTTATCGAGGTCAGGGATGTTACGGAAACGACGAGCACGATTCTTCACGATGGAGACTGATGACCTCCATCTCTGCCTCGCTTCCAGCGACGCATTCTTCGCCTCCACCTCAAAATCACTTAGCAAACTCGACATTTCTCCCGCTCGAAGCAGCTACTGAGAGTCGAAGAGAGAGAGAGCACTGAAGCCTTCTTCTTTACACTCTATCAATGGAGGTTGTTACGACTTTTTTTATAGCTGACCCAAACCCGACCCGAGTTAATTAGATTAGATACTCGGGTAAGGCCCATGTAACTTAGCTTCATTCGTTTTTATTCCGATAAATAATAAAAAGGGATCTTTATCGAATTGATCCGACCCGGACGAATATTATTGTTTTACTTTCCGTCCACATACGTCTGATATTTTTCGTTTGCAACGACTGACCTCAAGATCTATACTTTTGATGTTATTTTTTACTTATCTATGATGTTATGTCACGTGAGTTACCTAATAACGATATCAATATTTATGTTTCCAAGAGACAGTGATTAAACTAATAGTATCACTCAGACTCAGTAAACAACAATTTATTGTTATACGTCTACTAACATAAGTTTTTTTTGTTTGTTTTATGTGATTCATGCAACACTATCAAGACTTTGTCTGCTTGTACAACTTGAAGTGCTTTTTTCAGTAGCTGCACTGAAGTTTTACTAGAATTTTTTTTTTTAACATTCAACAATATAAAGGAATTACTCTTTCAAAACTTTAATTTGCTGAAAAAAGCAGAAAGACATTTAAAAATCTCTACAAAGCTAATGAGAAAAGAGAGGAGAATATGTTCCCTCTAAAATTCATTTTCTCTTCCTCTTGTGTTTTCTTCTTATGATTCTACTTGTTAGTTGTTACTATAGAATACTACTTTTTAGAGGAGTTGTATTATGCTTGAACTATACGTTGCATATACTCGACATTCGTTCATAATTTGGCGAGTTTTTGTTGTATTAACATTGAAAATATGAATAAACAATTGACTGAAGCAAAAAATGTCGTTTTTAGTTCTCTATAAAATACATAATGGACTTTTCAAATCCCTACAAACAGGAGAGATACGGCCCCAACTTGTGGACTGTGGAGAATCAGAGCACTTGGCGCTGCTGCCATTGTCTGAATTTTTGTTCTTATTATTAGACATTTTTTCATTGTTTTATTCCATTATCATAAGTTAGATTTTTCAGTGTTTACATTTGTAGTATTGCAATGAATTATTAATTCACATATATGAATCAAAGAGCAAAACCTCAAAAGCATAAGATCTGGGGTCCGATTATGTTTGACCAGTTAACATATATCTCGTTAAATAAAATTCACTAAAACAAATCCATGGCAAAGCTGATTATGCTAATCTCAAGGTCATTACCATTGCAAGAAAAAAAAAGAATAACAAGGTAAACAAAAAAAAAAGGCAAATGAGAAGATGGAGTTAACAACTCATGGCTTCAGAGAGTGTGAGAATGTGGATTCAAGCTTGCGTAACCAGTTAACGTACTGTTCCTGCTCCTTCTTGTTCAGATGACACAAGATGAAATTCGTTAGTCCTTCACTAAATCCCTTGGATGTTAGGTACTGCTTCAAAGCATCCTGTAGATTCGGATCTAACGTCCTACATCACCAAAAACAAGAATCTCTAACACATTTTTTTACAATTTGGTAAAAAAAAATCATGGATCTAGATGAGTAGACTCCAAATTCACTATAACTGTCTGCTTCTTTGCCAAAATATTACAAGGAATAATCTAAAACGCAAGCATGTTAAACGTTACCTAATGAATCTTCTATCTAGTTAAGAAACAATAGTCCTAACATACACATCATAAGAACCAAACTCCCACTTAATGAATTTGCAATACTAGTTTCCAATCAGTGTTCTAAAAATCGGTCTAGCCGGGGCCTATCTGGCAAATCGGATCTAAACGAAGTGATTTTTCTACAAGGCGTTCAAAAAATCAGACTAAACAATAATACACTTAAACACTAAAGGGCAGTAACAAAGATTGATATGAACTCTTATCTACCACTACCAAGGGAGAATCAAGATAACATATTTGTACCTGAAAAAGTCCCCTCCATTAGGTGAAGAACCACGCGAAGATACCAAAGAGCGGATATAAAAAGCTCTCTCAATGTCAAAATCAGAACTTCCACGTCCCGTTTCAGAAACACGGCAATCAAACTGCAAGATAGAGCTTAGTCTAGGCTTACTGATACATACTTTAGCCATAGCTCCTCTAGGAAACGCTATATCATCAGCTTCAATAGGTTCCTTTTGCAGTAAAGCTGAGACCACAACTTCTTCTCCTGAATTAAACTGTCTCCTCAGGACAATGTCTTTGCTTTTCGGAGAATCCCAATCCAACTTGAAATCCCCTAGCTTTCCTGTCTCAACTCCCTTGTGTTTCAGACACAACAAAAAGCAGCCAAATCAGAATTCAATTCTTTTAGCAATATTGTTTGATCAAAAAGTGTGCTTTTAGGGTTTAAGCGATCCAACACTAAACAGGCACATATGGGTTTAGAGGCAGATACATTAAAAAAGTGAAACTTTTGTAGATTCAAGTTCACTCAGTTGAGAGATTACTGAGAGAGAGAGAGAGGAAGATGTAGTTTTACCAGGAAACGAGGGTTAGAGATTTCGTGACGGATTTCAGATTGGATTACGTTAAGCAAACCGCCATCGCCGACAACTTTGAGCCCACGTTTCAGAAGCGAGTTCATCTTGTTCCTCATCTCTTTCGAGAATTGACTTCACAGACTTTTAGTTCTTTCTTTCTTTCTCCCAGATGGATCGATCAAACACAGAAAAATAAAATAAAAGACCTAACACTTCGGATCCGGTTCGGTTTTGTTCTGCTGTTATAGTTAGGCCCAGGCAAAAAGTCCGGAACCGAAGAACCGAACCGAAATATCTGAAACCGAAATTGAACCGAAGCCCTTAAATATCCGAACAGTTTTTATATTTATATATTTGAAATAACCGAACTAAGAACCGAAATGATATCTCGAATATATAATAATATTAATTTTATATAGATATAACATAACTAAATATATGATTTTAAATTAAAAATTTATTAAAAATATCCAAAAAATAATTAAAGATAACTAAATAATTATAGAGTATTCGAATTATGGATAATTTTATCCGAAATATCCAAAATTTATATCTAAATCGTTCTAATTATTTGATATTTTATCCTAAATAATCGATAATTTATCTGAACTACCTGAATTCGAACCGGACCAAATGAGAATCAAATTATCTAGATGTTTTTTGGTTCCTAATTTTACTATCCGAACCGAACTGAACCTGAAACTATCCGAACCGAATCAAACCGAACCGAAAATAACTTAAGTAGTAAATTGATCTTCTAACTTCCTATCCAAATTATCCGAAATCCGAAATACCTAAACCAAACCGCTACCTGAAACTCCCATGCTTAGTTATAATGTTTGATTTAACCAATTGTAAGTAAGAGCAAATGGGCCAGTAAAGTTCTTATATTAAACAGATCAGGCCGCACTATCACTTCATATATTTGAGCTAGTGTCTAATAAACATTAATTGGGCTGGGTTGATTTTATGTATTGGGTTATGGGCTTTGAATTTCACTTGTACCATGAGCCCTTTAGAGGTTTCATGTGAGGTTGGCAACTAAAAAAGACACACACATCATGTATATCATTATCAAGTATTATGCCTACCCATATGGCTCTCCCCTCAATTATTTGTGATAAATATTTGTATCTGCCGTGGTCATTTCTCTCTCTCTCCCTCTAAGCAAAACTAACAGACCACAAGAAAAGCTATGGCTGGTATGCTTCCCGGAGTTGAGTGCGCGAGAAGACGACGCTTCCACGGCGGTGCTTCACCGCTTGACTTATCCAACACGGCTTCTGTGGCGGCAGCAGCGACAGGACAGGTCTGGACTCGGCGACCATCTTTCTCTCTCTACACTACCAGTCACGAGTGTCACCAAGCCTATGTCTCCTTCTCGGTAATAATGAAACGTCTAAAAATAAAATAAAACAGTTTCAAGCATTTTCTTGGGAAATACTCTTAACTTATTTTCAAGTTCTTTATAAAATATAGGAGACAAATGTTAGGAACAAATCGTACGGTGGTGATGATAATGATGAGAAGCTCGTCGGAGCAGCCAAAGAAGCTAAGGAGAGGCTGGACGAGCGGCTGAGAAACCCACGAAGAAAGTTTTGTTTGGTTAAACAAGCGTATGATAGCAAATGAAAGTACTTAATTCATCTTAAAATACGACGAACCAAACCAGCTCAAGTCTTTTGCTTTTATTCCATGATAACGACGCATGATGATGTTTTATATTATCTTTCGACATGTGGTATCACATGAGCATATAATTGTGAGATTGTCTTTTGTCGGACAATTATTTTAGTATTATGTATTATAAGCCATTTTCTCTGTTAAGCGCACTTTAGCAAGTCTACATATAATGGTAAGTTGCGTCTTTTGGATTAATAATGGAAACTTCCCGGAAACCGCTAGGCAGCTTCCAAGATTGCCAAATCTGACAGTAACTCGTCTCGTTTTTTCCAATAATATAAAATATATATAGCCTAATGTTTTAAATAGTATATAAAATATTTTTATCATCATTATTATAAAATTTTGATAAAATACATTTATGTGGATGCACATATCTATTATAAAATTGTAGGTGATACAGTTAACGAATTACAAACAAAGCTATGTATAATACTGAATATAAATTCTAAAATTATTGTATATAGAAATGTACTATTAAACAAATAAAAATAAATTCAATATAAACAATTTAATACGGATGAATTTAAAAAATATAGATTATCACATACATAAATAAATATTTATTTATAAAAAGGTAAAAAAAAAAGATCACACGATAAATTTAAAAATATAGATTATCACTTACACAAAATAAATATTTATGTATAAAAAATTAAAATAAAAACAAAGACCTGCGCACAATAGAATTTAAAAATATAGATTATATAAAATTAAAATTTTTTTTGATTAATATCTAGTTGTGTTTTCTATCTTTGAATTGATGTTATGCTTTTGAGTATGCTTTTTCTTATGAGCAGTGTTGAGACGTTTTTGATGTGTCTGCAAGACTTAGCTCCAGAAGGAAGCCTTGGATTCCTTGGTGCAGTGAACCATTGAAGAATCTCTGGAAAAGAATCAATAAACAGGACATCCCCATGATCATAGAGAAAGATAAAATCCAACCTTTGGCGTCGTCACTCCTTTGGAATGGTCAAATGCAAATCCATTGCTAATTGGAGAAACTTGCATTGGCATAGTAGATACATGACCAGAATTATACATAGTAGTAAAGGTGCATACTTAATTTTTCACACTGAAACATACATAATAAAGAGTCGAGCAAAATATGTTTTCAATTCAACGAAACATACTAAAGGTACATACGCTGTCCACCAAAACGAAATTAAAAGGCACATACTTAATTTTACTGATGAAACACAGTTAGGAATCCAAAAAAATGTTCAAAAGCTTCGAGCCACCTTCTCATACAAGTCACGAGGCCAGTTCCTGTGAGTGTTGCTTGCAAGAAACCCAGCGATCTGCCCAACGCAATCAGAGACTCAAGTTTCATTACCTTTGTTATTGTAATAGACAACCAAAAGAAGATAATATGTTAAACTGTATGACGTACCTTGGATCTCATGGCACGGATTGATCCATCAGGATCAGGTACATTGTCCAGACAAGTTAGCGCAACTTTGAGGAGGTCCGGGACACAAGTCTGGAAGTAAGGAGACGCACTCTGGAACACATCAGCGGTTGCATCAGGCACTCTTGGGTCAAGATTAAGGAATGGAAGTTTCGCAATTTCCCTCAGAGCATCCATATGATTGCCTTGTCTACCCAACTTGTGGATCGATAGTATTGCCTCGAGCTCTCTAAGTATGGTTTCTTGTTCCATCACTCGCTCTCTTTCCTGGGGACTGTGAGTAGACAATAAAAACAAACCCCTTGAGAGCACATTTTAAATTTTGAAGCAAAGATAGATCAATAATAATATACCTGACTTCAGGGTAATATTTGTAAGTCTGAAGAATATCGTTTCCGGCGAGAATAAGCCCTGATGTTCTGCTTTCACCATCCAACCTTCCACGGGCTAGGGAGCAAATGGCTTCAGAGAGACACTTGTTTATAATCTCCAAGGCAGCTGAAAATGCACCCACTCTCTTCTGTATTTCTATGGACTGAGAAAAGATGGAAAACATGGTGAAAAGCTTTACTTAAAAGACTCCAAACAATGTTAGATGAGAACTTTACTTACTTTGTCATACAATCCAGCTTCCTGACATTGATGTGCAGCTTCGATCAAGAACTGCTGTCTTAACCTAGAATCAGGGAAAAACCTTCCAAGCTGACCTTCTTCACCAGAGCCTCTTCCCCCAAGTAAGAAGTACATACCACCCTCTCGCAGGAGAATCTCAGTCAACAGCTGCTTCAGCATTAAGTTTCTCTGCCTCTGTTGATCTGTATTACTTCTTCCAGACCAAGCTAGCTGTCCCCCACCTACGGTAACAGCAGCTTGTGCATAATACTCTACTGTCATTTGGAGATCTCCGTGATGCAGAAACATGGACCCGTATTGCCTAACCATACTAGATGCCTCAGCATTAGCATCCATCACGCTGAGCTTGTGTCCAGTCCCAGAGCCTTCTGATAAAACAGAATGGTCCACTAGAGAAATAGCTATATGAACAGCATCAATATTATACCCTCCTTCTCCTGCTTCTTTGGATAAGTGCATGATAGCAGGAAGCAACTGAACACTGAGAAGCAAAACATATGGATACACCAAGGGGTCTTTTCCGTTCTTTGTGTAGTATGAAGGCTCGAATTTGTTGAGATAAGCCTGAAGATCATCTAAACTGTACGGCGCCAGGCCATCATTTAAGACCACAGATGAAGATGCACCAGAAACGTCTCTAATGCATGCTAGTTTGAACCATAAGAAGTCTTCAATTGTGTTGAAGAGAGTAGACAGATCCCTCAGTATGCGCTCAATTTGCCTGCGGGAACCAGAGATGATGGTGTAGAGTAGGAGTTTCTTCTTGTCATATGCGGTTCTACCCAACCGATCACCCATTCTTAGCATTTTCTCACATTCTTCTGATGCAACAGCTGCAGTCTCTGCAGTCACCATACCATCTGTTGTAATCCACTCTGTAAGCTGCAAAAAGGAAATTAACCAAAAAGCTGATGCCAAAACTCTTGATAATATATTAAGTTCTAAAGAACACCTACCAGTGGTGCAAAATGTTGAGAAGACCGAGTTGACCGAGCAATTTCTTTAGCCTCCTCATAATACCCAGTTCGTAAGCAAACATATATCTGAGATTCAAGAGATAGATATCAGTCATTTCATATAAACAGGCCTGCAGGTCAGCAATGTTATTCTCTATATCTCAATAAAATGTTGAGGACGAAGTTTAAAGTTCATCAATCAAAACCTGTTGCCAAGTCGTATCAACAGGAGGCTGCCTACGAGCATCAGGTGAATCAAAATCTAAAGTTCCATATTCTCTCAAACGAATCTGCACAGTAAAAAACAAGAAATAATAAAGCTAAACAGCTGTTTGAACATATGATTACTGTTAAGCTCTACAAAGTCTGTGACACTAACCCGAAGGAAAGCACGAATTCTTTGCAAATTTCCAACAGATCCACCAAGAGCAGCCTGGAACAGAATTACGAAAGCAAGACACACGTCAGAATGATTACTAACACTCTTGTAATAGGATAGAA